TATATTGCCTGTGGAGTATTGATGTTTGACATTGACAAGTCTAATAATAGAGAAAATATTTGAAATTCTTCAAGTTTCAGTTTTAAATTAGTTTGGTTTGTAAATTCAAGGAAGAGGGGGGGGGGCCTCATGGTAATTTATGGTTTTCTACTTCTCTCTATAATCAATAATTCGGGAAATATAAAAATTAACGAACGTTGAAAAGAATAAGATTGCAAAATAACTTTGCAAGAGATAAGAACTTTATGCAAACTTCAATATTACATGAAAAAATTCAATAAAACCTTTTTTTGCAAAAACACAATTTATAACTTTAAAATTTTTTAGAAAAAGGTAGTTTACTTTGGATTAGTCTACTTTGGTTTAGTTAAGTTTAGTTTAGTTTGGTTTAGTATAGTTTAGTTTAGATTAGTTAAATTTAGTTTAGTTTAGTTAAGTTTAGTTCGGTTAGTTTAGTTAAGTTTAGTTTAGTTTAGTTTAGTTTAGTTTAGTTTAGTTTAGTTTAGTTTAGTTTAGTTTAGTTTAGTTTAGTTTAGTTTAGTTTAGTTTAGTTTAGTTTAGATTAGTTTAGTTTAGTTTGGCTTAGTTTAGTTTAGTTTAGTTTAGTTTAGTTTAGTTTAGTTTAGTTTAGTTTAGATTAGTTTAGTTTAGTTTGGCTTTATTGATTTGTAGACCCGGGAAATATCCAGAATAATGCGCATAACAATAATTTGCGGTGCATTGTGCGCCCAAGTGAATAGGCATTCTAGAATGACTTTGCAAATATTTCAGCACAAAAAACCGCAAATTGGCCAAACCAATGTCATAAATCTTAAATTAATCTGTTGGATTGCAAGGTGTAGTCTGGCGCCTTTTCTATTTTAAATATGGTGGATTGTAAATAGCGTACTGCATTGCATGAAAACTGCGCAAATTAATAGAACAGGAATGAGAAGTTTAAGACGTGCAATTCAGAAAATGCAATTAGAGAACAGTTTAAGAAAATGAATGAGCTATTATTTTTTAATATTTTTATTTCATTTATAAAGTTGACATTTTTGTCCTAAATTGTAGAAATTTATTTTACTAAGTATGGGACTTTTGAAAACGTTTGGGCATTATCTAAATAAAGTTTTTATTAAATTCAAAATAAAGGCTTTTTACACCAGGCTGGCAAAAAATCAATTTATCCATAAAAAAAATATTTATATGTTTTCTATAGCTGGCTGCACCAAATTGGCTGATTTTTTTGATGAAATCTAATGGTACCTCCATGGATAAACTAAACTAAAAAAAATGATTTTTTCTAAATGTAAATTTCTAAAATATCTGTCTATTTATCTCTTGTAAGATCTAGGAATTTTGATCCGTAATTGCAGATATTCATGAGCCTTTCTGCAATGTATGGGATTTTTTATTTTTTGAATTCCAAATGCTGGTTTATCACAACAGGCAACTAAAAAGAGCGTCAAAATAATCACCCCTATTGGTTCTTACAACAGGGGTATCCCGCAGGTACCTTACCAAAAACTAAAATCTTGTTGACAAATCTTGATTAATTGATGTTTTAGCGATAAACTTTATTATACTTTGGGAGCCATAGCAACCCACCTTATTGTCTGAACCAGCCGATTGTTTCATCAACCAACATTTTGATTTTGCCATCTTACAAATTGCAAATTGCCAGTCCCTATAAATTGTCCTAAAACTTATCTATATATCTATCTGTTTTCTTACCTACCTATACTGTACATGTACAGTACTGTACTGAACTCTGTGTAAACTGAGTAATGTTCACTGTGTAAACTGTATACTGTAGAATTTGTGAACTGTTTACTGCATGTAAGCTGTGTACTGAACAGTGTACACTATGTAAACTGTGTACTGTACAATGGGTATAGTGGTTTATATTGTAAAGAACACTTTGTAAACTGTGCACTTTACATTGCCTGAATCTGCTCTGTACACTTTTTAAGCTGTACTGAACACTTTATAATTTGTGCTGTACAGTGTACACTGTACACTATGTAAACTGTGTACTGTACATCGCGTAAAACTGTGCACTGTAAACAATTTTTAAGCTGTACTGAATACAGTGTGAACTGAGCTGTACGCTGTGTAAACTTTGCTGTACATTGTGTACTGCACACTTCACGAAAACAAAAAACAAAAACAAAGAAACCTTAGTATCTGAAGATAAAAAAAGTTTTTTAAAATTGCAAAGATTTGTTTTTGTATTTAGTGCAGTATGCTTCAGTTGAAGAGATTTAAACAATTCAAAATTAAAATGATATCATTATAATACAAAATGTCATGTGTTGAATTAATAAAACCGTACTGTGATCTTTCTTCTCTTTCTTTGTCTGTCTATCTATACGTCTTATATGTCTTTTTATGAATATGAAACACAAGGCTAGCTATAAAAGTTTTCATTAAAACCTTTTCATTACTTTATGCTATTCTTATGCTATTATTTGTTAATAGTTTGCAGAAGATGTTATAAAATTTATTTTGATGAGAAGTTATATAAAATATTAAAGGCTTTATGCCATCAAAGTCTATTATGTTTTATTTACAATTTTAAATGAATTTTTTAAGTAAGTATCTTTCTTTCTATCTGTAAAGTAAGTCACTATATCTATCTATTCCTATGGTAAGTAAATATCTATCCTTAAAGTAAGTAAATATGTATCCCTAAAGTAAGTAATTATTAATCCCTAAAATAAGTATCTATACTATCTATCTATCTCTAAAGTAAGTATCTACTATCTATCTATCACTTAAATAAGTATCTATCTATCTCTAAAATAAGTATCTCTCTAAAGGAAGCACTATCTTTTACTAAAGTAAGTATCTATTTCTAAAGTAAGTATTTATCTCGAAAGAAAGTATCTATCTCTAAAGTAAGTATCTATCTCTAAAGTAAGTACTATCTTCTACCAAAGTAAGTATATATCTATTCATAAAGTAAGTATCTACTATCTCTATCTCGGAAGTAAGTATCTATCTTTAAAGTAAGTATCTTCTACTAAAGTAAGTATCTATCTCTCAAGTAAGTTCTATTTTCTGCTAAAGTAAGTACTATAAGTAATTAATAGTTAGTAATTAATAATTAGTAATTAATAGTCAGTAAGGATTGATATAAGTCATTTGTAACATTCAATGTAATTACTAAGAAGTAATTAATTGAATCTTTTGAATTAAATTTTAAGAGATTTCAGTCCGCCTTTGGAAGAAAAGTCATAAAACCAGTCTTCATCTTATTTAACCATAATTTAATCTTAATTTTTAATGATATAGGTGTAGAGAAAATTAAATCTGCTCGAACCCCTCCTTCCAACCAACATCTTAGTCTAGGTTGGTTTTTATAAAATACATTTCATACCATTCTAATACTTTGCTTCTTCATGATAAAAATATACCCACAGACTTCAAAGACGACTGTACGGATTTAAATTTAATATTTCTTTGTCAAATTATTAAGTAGGTCATTAAAATAATATATTTACGACAGATATGTAGTTTATCATTGGGATCGTCATATTTTAAGGGTTTTAGACCGTCTTTACAGTCTCATCCTTTGTGGGTAATCCTGTATTCAAATAATAGATTTTTGCTTAAATCTATCTATCTACATCTGTATATTTATCTATCTATCTATCCATCTGCACAAATTTCTGTATATATCTATACTTTTATCTATCTATTTATATATATTATCTATCTATCTGTTCTAGGCCCACCCTTACTAACAGGTTCATGTGGATAAATTGGCCATCTATCTTCCCTTTATTTTTCCAAGTCACATGAATTCTAGACAGTGTGCACAGTGCACAGTTGCATGCAGACACGGTGCAGTGGCGCAGCGCGCCGCAAAATGCACAAAGTCATGTTGTGTAGCGTGCACTGTGCATAGTCTGGAGGTTATATACGCGCACAAATATACTTCGTCATATTCTTCCAACTTGGTAGTTCAGCGCGTTGAGGGTCATGTTCTTTCATCACATTTTCAAATATAGTTTTCTACTCGGGACTTTGGTTTAAAGGGGGTGTTCCTAAACCTTGGACAGGAGGTATTGACTAAAGAGCATAAATTATAGGTTTCTGCATGATGATTGATTTCAAAATAATCATAAAAAATTTCACCTAATTTTAGTTTTACTGCCGTTTGACCAGTGTATTACCAACACATGATTCCGACATCAAAGTAACTATGGATTACACCGATGATATATGATTTTCAAAAGTTCATTAATTATAAGACTCAGAAACTGCAAAGACCCATTTCGCTTGATAAGAACATACTTTCATGATGCTAGTAAAATCATTCGCTTTATGACACATAAACTTACGTAAATGTCGTTTTCCTAATTCACAGTTTTATGAGGACCACTGTAGTTATTCGATTCTGCAAATTGATTAACCAATAAGCTAATCAATTAACCAATTAATCAATTATTTAATTAATTAACTAATTTATTTTTGTTCCAGGGTTGTTGGAAAGGTGAATGTTCCGCATCAGCCTGTGTTTCAGATTCTAAATTAGGTAATTTATAGATTAATTGGCTAATCAATTAATTACATAATTAGCTAGCTAATTAATCAGGTTATTGATTAATTGATTAAACCATGTTATAAAATGCCTAGCTATTTGCTCAAGTATTAAATTGTTAAACTAAGTAATCAAGTATTTGATCAATTATCTAACCATTAGCTAAATCATTAAACTTTTCGATCAAGTATTTAACTATTTAATTACGTATAACACTTTTTAATCAAGTATTCAAAAACTTGATTATTCAACTAATTAATTAAGCATTAAATTAATCAAATCAAAGTATTTGGCAATTTGATTAAGTGTTTAACGATTTCATCAATTATATTCCTAACTTATATGAATATGTATTTAGAGTGAACTTAAATTAATTGATCAATGAATTTGAATTAAGATGAAACAAAAANCCTACCAACATACCAACCTACCAACCTACCAACCAACCAACCAACCAAACAACCAACCATCCCACCAAACAACAAACCATTCGATCAACCAACTAACTAACTTGATATTTGTTATAATTTAGGAATACTACAGAATTTCCTGCTATTTTTGCAGACTCCAGTTTTGTCCAGGACACAGGTTAGTCACAAGCTAAAAGTTTTAATGGAGGAGGAGGGTGGGGGACACTTGGACATGATGGAGATTGCCAGAATCATATTGTTTCATTGTGAATTTATTTTTTTCTGCATTGGTAGGCGATTATATCATTGCATTAAAGACGATTTTCGATTTTAATTTTGATTTATATCAAGCTGTTAAACTGCAAGAATACTTAGAAGTCAAGAGAAGCTGTCAATTAAAAAGCTTTTAGCTTTAAATACTTATAAATTTGTAAGAAAAAAACTTTCTAACAATAAACACTTTTAAAAAGTCGTCTTCATTGTATAGATATTATCGCCTACCACTGATTTAACACAATTTTATCTTATTATCGACTATTTTTTCCAAATTAAAGCTTCCGTTTTGATTTTTGGAGTTTGATAGTAGTTCTCATACAATGAAAAAAATCACCCTAAAATTATCAAGAGCATCTAAGAATTATAAACATTTTGTTCATAATAACGAACAGAATGTTATTGTAAATTGTGAGAAATTCTTACTGTTCTGATCATAAATTTTATTGTAATTTCAAAATTCTTTCGATAAATCGATATTACGAATGAAATGATAGGTTTTTAAAACAACGTGTAATATATATATTTCAATGTTTAACTGTTTAGGGTCTATATACAGTAGTGAGGGGTCTAGATGGGTGGATGGATGTCAATATTGTTTCTCTCTTTGGGAATCTGCCACAAGATCTATTGTAGCCCAGGTAAATATTTTTTTTTGTGGAATAATATTTTTTTTCTTCATTTTTTTTTTGTTTTGTTCTTTGTTTTGTTTATTATTGTCCAACCTAAAATTTTATCTATCTGGCGTCGTATATTCCTTTTAGAGAACTTCATGTAACTTCTATAGAATTTGAAAAAAAAACTTTGATAGAACTTTATAAAAATTAAATATAACTTCATGAAACTTTGATAAAACATTAAAACAATTTGTTCGAATTCCATAAAACTGTGGTTGAAAGAGGTATGAAAATGCTAGAATGAAGATCAAAAAGATAGGAATTGATATTTTATGTATCATTTTGATATGCACTGAGAAAAAAATATTAAAAATTGCAAAAAAACTGTTATTTTACGGATCCAAGTACAAATACATTTTTACCCCTCCCTGAACTGTAAAGGCTGTCCTTTGTGATCTCTATGCAGTCTAGAAATGCAGTCTTCTGTCTTCAATTTGCAAAATGTGAAGTGTCAGAACTCAAACTACTTTATAATCCCTCCCGACTTAAATTTGCAAAATGCAAAGCTCCGCTAAAACAAAGCCTTTGCTGAACAAATTTGCAAACATTTAATTTTAGCGCAGGGCAAACAAAATTTTCTCTTATCTTTTCACACATTGTCCCCTCTCATTCTCCATCGGATCCGGATTCTTATTTCTACAGAACGGTTCCGCATTTAAATGAAATTGATCCTAAGCAGTAAGCACTGCTAAAAATAACAGCTCAATGCATTTTTAAAAGATATTATGATGTCAGATGTACAGATGTGTATATATAAAAATATTTTTTTATTTCCGCTAATCTAATTCAGCTGCACTAAGTACTTATCCTGGTATTGCTAAAGTTTTACAGAAAATTCGAAAAGGAAAATTATGGTAAAAAAATATATTTTTTACATCATTCAGATTAAATTAGTTTTTTTTCACCATAATTTTCCTTTCCGAATTTTCTGTAAAACTTTAGCAATACCAGAATATGTACTTAGTGCAGTTGAATTAAATTAGCGGAAATATCTAAAGAGATCAAGATTTTTTATCTTACACTTGCATTTCAATCTTACAATAGTTTTTGATTTTAAACTCGTTCATTTCACAATTAATAGAGTAAAATATAGTTATATTTATTATTCAATAACAATATCATATTTTAAGTTGTTAACATTTAATCCTTTGTACTTAAGACTGAGGAAATGATCTTTTTATCAAAAACTGAAATCATATTGTTTACTTGTCTAGACATTTGTCTACTTTTTACCTTGTATTTTTGTCCATCTATCTATCTATCTATATATTTATTTCTCTTTCTCTCTATATATATATATATATATGAAGATGTATCTNTATAAGTAATATAAGTTTGAAATATCAAAGGCTAACTACCTTCATATCTATATATCTTTCTGAATATCTTTCTTTCTAATTATTCATCTAGATATTAATCTATCTGAATTATTTATTTACTATCTATCTATCTATCTATCTATCTATCTATCTATCTATCTATCTATCTATCTATATCCATCTATTTTCCCTTTATTTTTCCAAGTCACATGAATTCTAGACAGTGTGCACAGTGCACAGTTGCATGCAGACACGGTGCAGTGGCGCAGCGCGCCGCAAAATGCACAAAGTCATGTTGTGTAGCGTGCACTGTGCATAGTCTGGAGGTTATATACGCGCACAAATATACTTCGTCATATTCTTCCAACTTGGTAGTTCAGCGCGTTGAGGGTCATGTTCTTTCATCACATTTTCAAATATAGTTTTCTACTCGGGACTTTGGTTTAAAGGGGGTGTTCCTAAACCTTGGACAGGAGGTATTGACTAAAGAGCATAAATTATAGGTTTCTGCATGATGATTGATTTCAAAATAATCATAAAAAATTTCACCTAATTTTAGTTTTACTGCCGTTTGACCAGTGTATTACCAACACATGATTCCGACATCAAAGTAACTATGGATTACACCGATGATATATGATTTTCAAAAGTTCATTAATTATAAGACTCAGAAACTGCAAAGACCCATTTCGCTTGATAAGAACATACTTTCATGATGCTAGTAAAATCATTCGCTTTATGACACATAAACTTACGTAAATGTCGTTTTCCTAATTCACAGTTTTATGAGGACCACTGTAGTTATTCGATTCTGCAAATTGATTAACCAATAAGCTAATCAATTAACCAATTAATCAAATATTTAATTAATTAACTAATTTATTTTTGTTCCAGGGTTGTTGGAAAGGTGAATGTTCCGCATCCTCCTGTGTTTCAGATTCTAAATTAGGTAATTTATAGATTAATTGGCTAATCAATTAATTACATAATTAGCTAGCTAATTAATCAGGTTATTGATTAATTGATTAAACCATGTTATAAAATGCCTAGCTATTTGCTCAAGTATTAAATTGTTAAACTAAGTAATCAAGTATTTGATCAATTATCTAACCATTAGATAAATCATTAAACTTTTCGATCAAGTATTTTACTATTTAATTACGTATAACACTTTTTAATCAAGTATTCAAAAATTTGATTATTCAACTAATTAATTAAGCATTAAATTAATCAAATCAAAGTATTTGGCAATTTGATTAAGTGTTTAACGATTTCATCAATTATATTCCTAACTTATATGAATATGTATTTAGAGTGAACTTAAATTAATTGATCAATGAATTTGAATTAAGATGAAACAAAAAATCACCTCATATTATTTATAATTGATCAGGTGTCTCTAGAAGTTATGAATTTTGTTGTTGTGCAGGGGACTCTTGTAATTCAAACTTTCAAACAGGTGATTAATAATTAATAATTAGTAATTAATAATTAATAATTAATAATTAGTAATTAATAGTTAGTAATTAATAATTAGTAATTAATAGTTAGTAATTAATAATTAGTAATTAATAGTCAGTAAGGATTGATATAAGTCATTTGTAACATTCAATGTAATTACTAAGAAGTAATTAATTGAATCTTTTGAATTAAATTTTAAGAGATGTCAGTCCGCCTTTGGAAGAAAAGTCATAAAACCAGTCTTCATCTTATTTAACCATAATTTAATCTTAATGTTTAATGATTTAGGTGTAGAGAAAATTAAATCTGCTCGAACCCCTCCTTCCAACCAACATCTTAGTCTAGGNTTTTGGAGGTCTTTAGAGGGCACGAGTGGAGGTCATGAGAGTCTAAGATTGGAGGTCATAATAGACCCCTTTATTGACAAGAATGACCTCATCTTAACACTAATAAAGTTATCCACCATTATGAAGTGTGAATACAATAAGTAAGAAAGCTTTATTATTATTTTGAAAATTTTTTGAGAAAAAAAAATCAATTTTAATTTGTTTTAATAATATCCGGAGAACTCAAAAAGCATGATAAGGTTGGAGTTAAAAAAAATTCTATTTTCTAAATCTATAAAAAAAAATACGATTTTATAAAATGGCAACTCTTGCAGATGTTTCCTGTTTTTAACCTCATTAGATAAATAGGACAATTAGTTAAATGCAATCATAGAAAATATAAAAAAGAAACTAATTAACCGACCAACCAATTAACCGAACACCCAACCAACCAACCAAGCAACAACCTACCAAGCAATCAACCTACCAACCAACCAACCAACCGACCAACCAATTAACCGAACACCCAACCAACCAACCAAGAAACAGAACAACCAACCAAGCAACAACCTACCAAGCAATCAACCTACCAACCAACCAACCAAGCATCCTACCAACATACCAACCTACCAACCTACCAACCAACCAACCAATTAATCTATCTATCTATCCATCTATCTATCCATCTATATTTCTATCTGTTTTCTTATTTATCTATCTATATATCTATCTATCTATCCATCTATATTTCTATCTGTTTTCTTATTTAGCTATCTATATATCTATCTATCTATCCATCTATATATCTATCTGTTTTCTTACCTACCTATACTGTACATGTACAGTACTGTACTGAACTCTGTGTAAACTGAGTAATGTTCACTGTGTAAATTCCTTCATTTATGCATCCTTTCATTCTTTTATTCATCCTTCCATGCATGCATTCATTCATTTCTTTATTCTAGGCATTCTTTCGTTCATTCATTGTTTTATCATTAATTCAGTTATTCACCCATAAATTTATTATTTATTTATGATTCAAACTAATTCATGGTTTATTACAGGATCTCGAAAACCTGTCGGAGAGAGGAGAAATTTAATGAAATATCCGGAAGTCAAACTCTTCTTATCCCTCCCATCCAATCTTTCATTGCAAATCTACCCCTCGTTTCAGCCCCTCTCCTCTCCCCTTCCACAATCCAACCTTTGTTTCTCCTAAAAACCCTAGTCTCTATCCTCGGGAACCCAAATATGCTCCACTTTTGAGCCCTTCTTCAGAACTCTCAGGTCCCCCAACCTCAAAACATCTTATAGTTACCAAAACCAAAACCAAACCAAGTCAATTCCACTGCCCAAATTCTTTCAGTGAACCAACTACAGTTGTGATGAAGCCACAAAAAATGGCAGATTTGTATCCAAAGATGCAAATGTCGTCGTTTCTGGCACAAAATATCCTTCTTGCACAAACGCATAAAATCCGCCAAAATTTCGACACAAAGCGAAGTATGTAACATTGCTTAGATAAAATTGCATTTATGACTATCATCAACTATTTAATTAATATGATCTACCATGTTGGTAAATAGTTATCATGTTCTGCACAATAAATCAATCAATAAAATGTTAAAAACTAAACTAAACTAAAAAATTATTATGTAAAGAAACCCATAATCTTGTTGAAAACAGCGTTGAAAACTTTAGAAATGTGGATGTTGAGAGCAATGCTTGATCTATTCTTTTTATTAATCTCAAGGTTAATTTAACCTTTTATTTGTATCCAGAAAAATGTATAAAGTTCAACAAATCAGACTGGCGTATCAGAAACCGGGAAATTTGAAATTTTGCACGCCATTTAATAAATAGTCGGAATCCGGAAGGGATATCCAGAAAGAGGGAAAAAGAGCGGATAACGCAGATATAAACGATTGGTATTAAGGGTATCTAATTCTAAAGTTTTAAGCGCGGATACATTTCGAATGATTATTTTGTATCTGCAGTTATGCATAGGTAAGTATTAAGAGAGCACATGTTTTTGAGATAAATTAGACACATTTTAGATGGATTCCAAACTTAACTACAAAATATATCATAGATGTCAATCTCTTTATTTACAGTGAAGTTTGGACCCGCTTAACCAGGTTAGGTTGTTTTGATTGGCTTGCCCTTAGAATCAGTCAACATAAGAACATCAAATTTGATTTTTGAGAGGCAAAGAGTTGATTAGAAGAAGGTAGAATAATATGTCAGGCAATTCAGTGCCAGAGTGGGTTTAGAACAACTGGTACAAAGTTTTTGCCTTTACATTATACATAACATTTCTCCTAAATAACAATTTGCCTGTTTAGCGTAATTGGGAAAGATTTTCGGCTATACAATATTTAGCTTTATCTAGCTATACAATATTTTGTTTGATCTAGCTACGATTACCCCCAAATTATATTGTTGCTTTCTCAGCAAAATCATTGAATGAATTATTTAAAGACTAATAGTATTATAATCATAACAACTAATAATCAATTTTAAGCCTCTGATAGTCTGATAGTCTGATCGTATGTATACAGTAGTGATTAGCAGTGAATAGCTATTATTTTTTTTAAGGGAGGGGGGGGGCGGCGGGGCAGGCGGGGCGAGGCACAAATTTTAGAAACTGAAGATATATAAAATCGTAATTAAGGGGAGCAGGTGAAAATATTTGACTTGAAAAAATCTGAAAAGGTCAAAATGAATGCATTAATAACTTCAAACTAATTCACTAGATTTTTAACTTATTATTACACATTATAGTTTACTTACTGAGAGCTATTTGCATCAATACAAAAATTATTTTTTAATATTTCCTATTAACTGCAAGGAATAATGAATAATATCATACTCTTAAAACTATGAATAGATATTACGTTGAAAGGAATTGACTCTTTGCAACAAACTCTGATTTTGTAATCCCAATGTCTTTGGATTCCAACGTCGTAAACCTTTGAAATTTCAAACTATNGAATTTCAACCTTAAACCTTGAATCTGCATTGGACTTGGTATAGTTGGGTTTAAAGGGTAAGGATGATAAAGGATGAAGAAGTTGAAATTTAAAAAAAAAATTATACACGACTTTGTCGTTTTTGGTCATAGAGTCCGAATTTTTTTTACATCAGGCAGGAAGGTTCTTTCTGAACAAAATTCTAATAATACTTTAAAGCATAAAATGATTTGATAATTGATTTTTTACTCAAAGTTTTTTTTTTAAATTAGGGCCATAATATTTTCATTTTTGAAGAAATCATCAAAATTTTTGGACACTTCAGGTAAGAAATTTCATTCTTAATACATTATATTTTAATAACCTTTTTTGTTTTTCCCCCTAAAAGGCCTCCTTTCATGCGTTTTTATCTGTCAACGTAATTTTTTTTAGTTTGAACTTTAATCCCTTTGAGGTTTGAACTTTAATCCCTTAAATTAGTCAATAGCGTTTTTAGAAGATTCTAAGATGATTTTGTCCTTGGAGCTTTGCTCTAAACCCATTAAAAAGTAGGACTACTTTTTTAATAAGTTCACTTTTAAAAGTTTGATTTGATTGATAGCATTTTTAAAAGATTCTAAGTTGATTTTGTGCTTGGTGTTTCTGATCTGAACCCACTTTTAGAAATTTGTTCAAATTGAATTGAAAAGAACCCGTAAAATCTTTCCCTGGCATGTTTAGAAAGATGACAATTTCCCTGTATGATACTTGAAGGACTGCAGTATGGTTTTGGTGAATTATATTGTCGTACTAAGCCTAGGGGTGTCAGAAATGATTTTTTTTGCATATTTTTAAAAACTCCTATTAAACATTTAAAGTTTAATTTTTATAAAATTTTTTAGTCTGGATAATTGCAAATATTTATCTAAAACTTTCTTAACCCGGCATGTTATTTTAAAATTCATTTAGTAATGAGTTTGAGTCAAAAGAAGTATTGATAAATATTGCTTTATATCGAGTAGATATCCTTAAACATAACGATGTAAAACCTTTCAGAAAGTAGGAAAGATTCTGCAAAACAATTTCCAAACCAAACAGAATTTTTATTTTGAACAAAAATACTTATAACTTATATAGAAGCTTTTCTTGGTTGCATTTTACTCTAGTTTTGTTTCATTTTCATTTGTGTAAAAAAGAGATTCTGTTGATATGGTTTAAAACTAAACAGCTGATGATTCATTGAAGGGAGGGATGGTAAAAACAGCGGGAGTAACATATGACTCCCTTCTCTTCTCTTCATTTTGTCCAAACCCAGGTAAAACGGAATTTTTTACTTCTTTCAAATTTTTTTTTTTATAACATAACATTCAACTGTAGTTGGGGAACCTACAAATTCATTTTTAGATTGCTCAAAAACGCCGTTAGTTGTGGCCTCCAACCTTCAAAAATGTCGGAGGCTCTGGAGGGCTAATTTTTTGAGATAGAGGCCTGAATGTAATTTCAGGACACCTTTTTCATATATTGGCTACTGTAATTTAATGAAAAACTAACCTTCCTCGTAATCATAAAACACCAGTGCAGAAGATCTTAAAATGTTTTGTCATGCAGTTAAGTCAGAAATCCTATAGACCCAGAGAAAAGAAATAGAATCAGACCTAAGAGTTGACCAGTCTTCAGAGAAAAACCTTGTGATAAGGGTGCAGGAATCATAATTCTGAAGTTTGAGAGTTATATGGAATCCTGTCTGAACGAACTTTCTAACCAACAACTGCAATAGAATGGAACACTAAATCAGTACTATGTACAAGTTGAAGAGAAGGAAGTTGAAGAAACAAAGCAACAGATAAAGTCTGTTTTAGATACTGCAGCTGATAAGAATTTCATCACAACTGAAGAACTTAAAGCTATGCTGATTGCTGGCTGATGACAAGAATCCAGCAAAGTTTTATCAGCTGTTCAAAGTACATAAAACTCACATTCCAGGAGATACTCCACCAAGTAGGCCTATTATCAGCGGCTCAGGAAGTTACACAAAGAATATAAGTTTATTTGTGGACAGTTTTCTGAAACCCCTTTCCAACTGACACCCATCTTATCCTTAGGATAACAATACAAATTAATGATTGGGGACGAGACTATCGAAAGAATAGGGTTAGGTTGTAAAGAAAAATATTTTAAATTTGTAGGAGTTAGATTTGATGAGTTTCTAAAATGGAATTTTCAATTAGACCACATATGTGCTAAAATTTCAAGTGCAATATTTGCACTAAGAAATGTAAAACATATCCTTCCTTTGAGAATTAGAAAATAAATATATGATAGTCTTATTAAAAGTAAACTAGAGGATGGTATTTTATCTTGGGGTCCGTCAGTAAATAGTAAACTAGGTAAATTATCTACTCTTCAGAAAAAAGCGCTACGAGTTCTAGCAGATAAAGGTTATGCTGCACACGCAGATCCACTTTTTCTGAAACTTGAAATTCTAAAAATAAAAGACATGATCAATTTTAGTTCTGCTGTTTATATGTATAGATATATGATTGGTAAACTTCCATTATCTTTTAATGGAATGTTTAAAGCGTTAGCAGAACCAAACAGAACAAAAAGTTATAAATTAGAATTAGCTAACAATAAATATCTAGAAAGTTTTCCTTTGGTTTTTCTTCCAAGGACCTGGAACTCTATTCCATTGGAAATAAAATCTTTAGGCACCCTAGCAAGTTTTAAAACAAGTCTTTAAAAAAGTTATCTTGAAGTATATAATAATTTTCATTGTATAAATCGAAATTGCTTTTCATGCTAAATCTTGATTCTATCCCCTTTCCCCTATTGTTATAACAAAACAAAATAAAACATACACATATCAGATCCAAATCAGATCCAGATCAGATCCAGATCAGATCCAAATCAGATCCAAATAAGATCCAAATCATCCAATCCAGATCCAATTCAGATCCAATCCAGATACAGTTGAGATCCAACAGATCCAGATCAGATCCAAATCAGATCCAATTCAGATCCAATCAGATCATATTTTCAGTTGAACTTTTTGTCATTTAAAACTACTTTTCTGTTCATTGAACTATTTTGTAATTTTTTCATTTGAACTATTTTTTTTCTCATTATAGAACTATTTTTTTCATTTGAAATATTTTATTTGTACATTTTTTTTTCATTTGAACTATTTTTCTGTTCATTTGAAATATTTTTTTTATTTGAACTATTTTTACGTTCATTTGAACTATTCTATGTTCATTTCAGCTACTTTTTTGTTAATTTGAACTATTTTTTCTGTTCATTTAAAATATTCCTGTGTAAATGTTATTTAATTAATTGTATATGAATTAACTTCATGAATTGCAAAAGAATTTAAAAAACTGAATTGGTAGAAAAATAGTTCAAATGAGCAAGTAATGTGTTGTTTGAACTACAGGATATGACGTTATGTCAGTAGTTCAAATGAACAGTAGTTTAAATGAACAATAGTTCAAATGAACAATAGTTCAAATGAACAATAGTTCAAACGAACAATAGTTAAAACGAACAATAGTTCAAACGGGAGTTAAATAGTTCAATTGAAAATCCACCGCGTTAATAACATTAAATAATTGAAGGTATGGCGCACGTTAGTTCAATTTAAACAAAATATGTTCATTAGAACGATAATCCCTGGCATGCCATAATCCCTCAGAACGAGTCCAAATGAAGATTAGTCCAAACTAACGATACTTCAATCGATCATTAGTTCTCTTGATATGCCACCTAAATTAGTTGATTGGCAACTTTTTGTCGCCTTTTATCGCAGGTTTAGTGAGAAAAACGCGGCATTTTGGTGTACATTGCGCGAGTCATTCAAACAAACGTTTTCACCGGGTATTTACTATGAACTTCCAAAAAGTCAATATTACGGGCTATTAGAAAAATATAGTCAATCTTTAGAATTATCAAATTTTCAGAAGAATGGGGAAGGAAAAGCGGAGAAGATCCAGTTCTTCCAGCCCGGCTAAAAAACGTGACAAGTAACTATAATTAATTGTTTTCAAAATTAATACATTTCATTTTTAATAATTGTAACTACTGTCAAATTGGAGATTATCAGTGTTTTCTAGGAATGTCCAATTTTTCAAATGTCTAATCTGTAGGATGTTCTTTTATATCTGTTAATGGTTTATATATTTATGTGTGCACAGTCTTGTATCTATAACACATCATGTGTCATGTCCACGGTTCTCGTATGAGCTTTGTATGATGAATGATTGATATATATCCATGTGTTAATCTGAAATTTGGTTATTTTCAACTGTTAGTTCTTCATCACTATGATTTTCGAATTTCTGCTGCAGAAATAATGGAAGAAATTGTCGGAATCAAACACTTTTCAACTATTAAAATCTTATCATGTGAGCAAATAAAGGTTTGTTTGAAGGGTACCGTTGTAAGTCGTGCTTACCCCTCGGTTATTTCCTAGAGAACGATTTTTGAACCCCCCCCCCTCCCCCCTCCTATCAATTTTGTACATGGGTCTGACAAGAAGTGTCTTAACTTAACCTAACCCGTGGCCGCAGCGCTCGGCCCCCTTGCCCATCCTAGCCGCAGCGCTCGGCCCAGAAAGTGTCTTACCCTAACCTAACCCTAAATAACAAGAAATATATAATAATAAATTTGCTGAAAAATAAATGGTCATGTACAAAATTGATAGGAGGGGGGTCCAAAAATCGTTCACTAGGACAGACCCGGTACCGTTGTAAATCGTGCATACTCTATAAAGAGGGGAACACTTGAATATATAATGACCATCTCTCTTTAAGATCCCGAGAGCGTAAAAGATCAAAGTCCCGAGATAGAAAGAAGGAAAAGAAGGAGAAGAAAGAGAAAAAGGAGAGAAGCAGAAGTAGAGAGAGACGAAGATCAAGAGACAGGTAAAATATACGATTTAAGTTAATTAGGTTAGGCCCATAAACTGTGGATAAAAAGACGAATACGTTTGTTAGAATTGAAATATGATTTTAATTGGTCAAAGGGACATTAAACACAGCAATTTTGGAGTGTACACAGACCCGTTTCACTTAACAGTTAAATTTAAGCTACTGCAACTGGTAAACCTATTTGCTATATAACCATTCTTGAGTTTTACAATATAATTCTAACATGTCGTCTTCCTTTTCCATAGTATTACGGTTCCCACTGTATTTGGTTTTGTCTCATTATTTCTGGTTGAATCAGGCAACACCAATTTATCCTTCTTAAACCCCAGTTTGATTGTTGCAAGTACTTACTTGAGATTGTAAATTTTAATTTATTTTTGAGTGCTACAAACGATTGACAATGTTTCTATAAAATTTTAATAAAAATGTTGAAAAGGGCAATTTCTTTAAATCACTTGAAAATGTTATGTTAAATGAACATTTTTCAAAAATGTTTTCATTGATCGATGTATTGATAAATTTTCTATTTAATTAGAAAAAAGTCCCGACGATCCCGATCTCGTGAGACGAAGTCCCGAGGGCGGGATAGTCAAGAGATCGACGATAAGGCGTATTCATCACACAACAAGGTGGGCGGAACACTAAAAGAACAATACTATCATCTTTAAAGATTAATGATTTTTGGTAAAAATTCGAAAGTTGCTTTTTTACCAATACATATACGTACACACTTGGGTGACACACGAAGGGGGTTAAAAAACATTTTTTTTGGGGGTGAATAGTTTCTATGGGTGATGTGTCACAATATTAGCATTTTGTGAAAATTTTAGGTTGATCGAAACATTGCATCATGTGGAAGCCGTTTTCAGGAAAAAATCTTGATTTTTAGTGACGGTCAATGACCTCCGATCCTAAATTTTCTGTAAGATCCGTGTTGAGAACCACAATGGGAGGGTGCTTGCAAAATTTCAGCATTTTATCTCAAGTTTTAGAACCAAATGCAGCCTCAACAAAATGTAGTGTCGAATTGCCCCCCTATCCTTAACAAAAACGGAGAATTTTTCTGAAACAACTTCCACCTAAGTTCATCAAGTTAGAGCAATAAATGTTTTTGCATTTCAATACTAAGAACCTATGAACCTTTTGATTTCACTTCTTCGTGTGTCACCCTAATTATTTTTATTATATTATTATCAAAAGTATTATTTGAATTTCTTTATTAATAATACTATCGTTACTATTATTATAATTGTCATTTTATTTATAAACATCATTATTATTAATATTATCTTGTTATTGTTAAAGTTGGATAAGGACAGTGAGCAGGCCAGGCTTGAGAATGAGATGCAGAGAAGGAGAGAAAGAATAGAAAAGTGGAGAGCGGAGAAAAAAAAGGTAAAATTTGATATTTGCCCACTCTGATCGGCGTGTTAGTAGCCTGCTGGAATAAAGATTTACATCCCCACTTTTGACCAACGCTGTCTTTTCATGAAGAGTTAACATTTGGCAGATATGTCAATTTTTTTTAAAAAAGCATAAATTCACTTTGTCCAAATTCTTTGATGATCTGACTGACTTTATACCTTCCCTGATCGGTTCAGCCGTTTTGACGTTTATCGAATGCAACCAAACGGTCAATCAAAAACATTTCAATCAGGCGCTTCTTGCCAATTTTGTTAAAGTTTTAAAATAGATCCTGTAACAATTGTTTCTTTATAAATACATTGGATAAAAACATACTTGCAGGATATTATATAATTATATTTTTAAATATATGTAAATCATATTATTAATATAGGGAAAGGAACCTGCAGTTGTGGAAGTGAAAGCTGAAGAAGAACCAGAAAAGGAAAACACAAAACATTAAAATATTTAACCCAATAATTATTCGTAAACATATTTACGGTTTTTCATTCCTTTACAATAAATATAATTGGGATATAAATATAAACATTTTTTTGTGCGTTTTTATATCGGTGAACTTAAAAATTACATATTTTGTTGAGGGTGGGAGGAGAGGGTGTTTAGCATTAAAGATTATTCTAATTTAAAGGTTTCGAGAACATATTTTTCATAGTTAATCTATAATCTGCATTTGGGTGATGGTGTATGTTATGGGAATGAATCTGTTAGAATTAATTTCTGATAATTAGTTTGTTATTCAAGAAGCTCGTAATGAACTTTTGTTGTTGACCCTTTTTAAACCTTTGTTTTGGGGGGTGTTAAGGTGAAGAAGTGGAGTTTAGAAGATGAGGATTCAGAGGAGGAAGAAACTGTTGTTAAAAAGGTCAGGCAATGTCAAATTGTGTGAAGGTCAACATGGGTGTATATTTCGATTGATTAATCTTTCCCCCCTTTTGAATATTAATATATTAATAGGTTTTTTTTATGATTTATTTAGTGAAATGGGAATTTAAACGATTTTTTTCATAAAATAAACTAATTTTTGGGTTTAAAGTATCAAAAGATAAAAAAACTTAATTTTTTTCTTCTAAGGCATTAAAAATCAATCCCCCTTGTAAAGGGTGGGTAATTATTGAAAATATAAACCCATGAAGGTCAGGCAAAAATAGATTGTTAATAAGGTCAGACAAAGGTCACATAAAGTCAAATTGTAAAAAGTTTAGTCAAGATCCAATTGTAAAAAAGGTCAGATAAGGTCAAATTGTAAAAATAAGGTCAAACAAGGTCAAGTTGTAAAAAAGGTCAGACAAGGTCTAATTGTAAAAAAAGGTCAGACAAGGTCAAGTTGTAAAAAAGGTCACACAAGGTCAAGTTGTAAAAAAGGTCAGACAAGGTCAAGTTGTAAAAAAGGGCAGACAAGGTCCGGTTGAAGAAAAGGTCAGGCAAGGTCAAGTAGTAAAAAAGGTCAGACAAGGTCCAGTTGTAAAAATAGGTCAGACAAGGTCAAAATTTATAAAAAGGTCAGACAAGGTCCAGTTGTAGAAAAGGTCAGACAAGGTCAAGTTGTAAAAAAGTTCATGGTAAAATTTTAAGAAAAAGGTCAGTCAAGGTCAAATTATCCAGGGCTCAGACATGGTCCAATAGTCACAAAGTCATGAAAGAACAAATAATTGTTCATTGATTTAAATGACTTCATCATTGCTGAATTGAATCAGTAGTTGATTGATAAATAGTTTTTTGATTAAACGTTGATAGATAGAAAGTTGAAGGATTCATGAACTGGTTCATCGAATAGCTGGTTGATTGTTTATTTGATTGATTTATTGATTATTTGATTTTTTTGATTGATTGATTGATCTAGGAAGAGGAAATCGTGGATAAGAAACCGGAAGTGAAGGAAGAGGATGATGTGGATCCGCTTGGTAATTTAAAGGGACTGTTCTTTTAATTTCAATTGATCCTTCATTTACGATTCATAACGGTTATCTTTAAACCTTGATCAGAGTAACATTGAGAGGAATATAAATATTCTTTTATTAAAAGTATTGAAGTTTGACAAATTTTGCATTGTAACTGTTGCGTGTAAATCCGCAGGTCACTTTATTACCGGTATTAATAAGATACAAATGGAGGGTCACTTGAAATCACTTCATCAGTCCCAATAATTTACAAATTAATTAAAAACATTTTTATGACATATTTGTTAAAATTGTTTAACCTCATCTTTAGATGCGTTTATGACTGATATCAGTAAGGAGGTTCGGAAGATGAAGGGAGCCATGTTTAAGAATGCTAAGGGGGTTGTCACTAAGGTTAGTACAGTGGTCCTTTATTTAAAATTAGAAATGTCCTTACTTATGTTTTAATTTGAAGCTTTTTTTTTCTCGTAAAACGTGCCCTACTTGAATCACTTTTCATGTGAAGAAAGTTTTTTTCTCGTTTTTTTGAAAATTATTTCCCCACCCGTTAGAAAATAATTCCCCCCCCACTAGAAGTTGGGTATGTTTTTAAAGATTTATTCTTCTAATTGGGTTAATGAGTAGTTTTTAGGTAAGAATAAAAAATTTTCTGTAAAAAGTATCTAAAAGCAATAACAAAACTTGCCTGTTGGTTAATGTCAAATTTTTTATTTTGTTCCCCTCCTGATTAAAAGTCATGTAATTCTTAAAAGTATATACTCCTGGTTTTACTGCTTCTAGCTTTTGATTGAATTCTACCATTGAACAGTTAAAAAAAGGGGGGGGGGGGGGAGTTGCCAGTTTTGATATCTTTCCTGCACACATCTTTGAATATCATTTTAAAATTATTCAGAGTAAAAAAGAGATGAAGACTGAGGAGAACGGAGATGCTGAGAAGAAGAAGGGGATGGTGATCATGATGGGGGTAGCAAAGAAGAAACCAGATACTGTCAGCAAAAAACCAGAGGTACACTTATTCTCCATGTTTAAAGTGAGGGATCACGAAAATTAAGAAAGGGTTAAATTGTAAAAGTTAAAAGGAAGGTGCGTGAAAATCAAAAAAAAATGTAATATAACTGTAGACGGTACACTGTGAAACAAGTGGACAACTGGACAATATATTTTAAAAGTAAAGCTTTCTCGACCAATAAAAATAATAAGTTGGGAATAAAAGAAAAATTACAAATATAAATTTAAAGGGGTGCTTTAAAGTGTAAAATTAGCTCCATGAATTCAATATAATATGATAGATGAATTTAGGTGTAAGAAAGGAATCGGGTTAAAGGGACTGTAAGCGTAATTTGAATTAACACTCCAAGCAAAGATCTAAATGTCCGAAACGGTACCCAGCTTTGCCTAATCAAGTATGAATTAGATATCTTTGTTCATAATTTTAATAACTGATTATTTTCAATTGTTTTTTCGCTACAAGAGTGACTTGCGGTTTTCTACTGAAGGAAGCCATAATGGAATTATCAGAATTTTATCTTAGAAAAACGACAATATCTTTGCATGGAAGGTCTCTTTAATTTCCGCGTTCAGCCCCTTTAAGAAAATATAAGTCCTTCTAATATTTTTACATCATCAAAATCAAGGTGATGGAACAAAATGAAGATGCTCTTGAGTATAGTAGTGAAGACGAGAAAAAAGACAATCTAGAGGATAATCTGAACAAACTAAAAGTAGGATATCTTTAAATATTTTAAACATTTTTTAGTATATTTTACAATTTAATATTTTCTAGTTTTTAAATGATATTTACATTAAATTAACTGGTTGATTGATTGTTTCATTCATCTTTTTATTCATTCATTCATTCATTCATTCATTCATTCATTCATTCATTCATTCATTCATTCATTCATTCTTTCTTTCTTTCTTTCATTCATTCATTCATCCATCCATTCATCCTTTCATTCATTTTTTCATCCTTCCTTTTATCAGTTTATTCATTTATTCATTCATTCATTCATTCATTCATTTATTTATTAATTTATTTTAGGAGAAAGGAAAGAAGGTTGTGGCTAAGGTTGACCATGGTGGAGTAGAATATCCAGCATTTAGGTTTAGTATTTACATTACAATTGTAAATTAGAACAAGAAATATATTTCTTATGTGAACACTATTATTATTATTTTTTGTAAATGTTAAATATTCTTGGCCGTTTGAGAAAAATATATCCAGTTAAGGGAGAATTTTCTACTTATTATAGACATTCCGTGCATCAAACTTCAACTGATAAGTTTTAGTTGTGAATCAACCTTTTTGTTGTTTCAGGAAGGATTTCTATATTGAGGTACCTGAATTGGCGAAGATGACCGACCTAGAAGTTGAAGACTACAGGTAGGTCCAGGTCGAGGTCATGGTCAAGGTCGAGGTCATGGTCAAGGTCGTGGTAGAGGTAGAGGATGAGGTCTTAGTAGAGGACGTGGTAGAGAGATACTGGAGGATTAGAGACTGTTAACATAAAAAGGGTGTAGGATAACAATGACTAAATAATAACTGACATGACACTATTTCTTTATCTATTAATATTTTAAAGTGGGCAGTTCCTACGCTTTTCATGGTCTTCTGAGAAAGTTTTATTTAAAATTATATTTACAGAAACATGGGATAGCAATAATATTTAGTTAATTTTTGTTCACGACCCACTTAAATTAAAAAAAATTAAACAATCACCCTTTTTATTAATTAGTAGCTAAACTTGGGATTTGAACAAGGATGAGGAGAGAGAGGGACTGGGGCCTTAATTTTAAATGAACCATTTATGGATTGGCATGACCGATTCACAACGGTACCCTTTACCCTTTTTCTTATTATTTTCAAAAGTGGACTCTCTGTAAAAGTGACTTGCGGACTTCTTGCTACAGAAGCATTGGAGAAAATTGCGAAAGTAGTGAAACACTTTTAAATCTGGAAAAACGACGATATCTTCCACAATAGAAACCAGGTTCAAAGTGTACCGTTGTGAATCAGACACAGCCCTCTTTAAAATGAGGTCCACTTGAATGGACAGTCTCATTAAAAGTGCGTTTAAAAGTTCCCAGCTCCGGCTTTTTAGTTAAAAATAAGAAAACCTCAGTCCTAAAATATTTAGAGCTGAGCTGGAAGGGATTAAAGTGAAGGGGAAGAATGTTCCTAAACCAATCAAGAACTGGCCACAGTGCGGAGTCAGGTAATTTAAGTTTTTATATCCCTAGTCAGCCCATTATCTTCCTTCCTTTATAATTTGATTTATTGTTCCGATTGAAAATTTTATGTGCTGCTGACCATTTTGTTTATATTAAGTACTAGCTGAAGTGCCCGGTGTTGCCCGTCGAATTTTTAAGATAGCATAAAAAATGTTTTTTTTTAGCCTATTTTACCCATTAGTCCCCTCAAAAAATGTTAGCCCATCTGGTCCACCCGTTTGGCCTGGTATAGGGAACATATATACGAATGGCTTGTTTCATTATATAGAAGATTAACTGCTTCGCGTTATGCCTCACCCCCCACTTGATTGTAATTGTACCTGAACTAAATGGTAGACATATATGAAAATATTTTAACATAGGAAAACCATATTTGATGTAAAGTCTGAAACTTTTTGTGATTCGGATTGTTTTAGTTCAAAGATTCTTCAGCTGCTTAAAAAACATGGATATGAGAAACCAACTCCAATTCAGGCGCAGGCCATTCCAGGTACACACTACACATTATTCTTGACCCTGATATTCCAGGTACACACTACACATTATTCTTGACCCTGATATTCCAGGTACACACTACACATTACTCTTGACCCTGATATTCCAGGTACACACTTCACATTACTCTTGACCCTGATATTCCAGGTTCACACTACACATTACTCATGTCCCTGATATTCCAGGTACAAACTACACATTACTCTTGACCCTGATATTCCAGGTACACACTACACATTATTCTCGACCCTGATATTCCAGGTACAAACTACACATTACTCTCGACCCTGATATTCCAGGTACAAACTACACATTACCCTTGACCCTGATATTCCAGGTATATATCGACCTTGACCCTGGTATTCCAGGAACACATTGACCTTGACCCTGATATTCCAGGTATATATCGACCTTGACCCCCTGATAATCCAGGTACATTAACCTTAACCTTGATATTCCAGGTATATATCGACCTTGACTCTGTCCAAGTATACATTACCCTTGACCCTGATTGTCCAGGTATACGTGGACCTTGACCCTGATTTCCAGGTATACACTGACCTTGACCCTGACATTCCAGGTATACATTGACCTTGACCCTGATATTCCAGGTATACATTGACCTTGACCCTGATATTCTAGGTATACATTGACCTTGACCCTGATATTTCAGGTACACATTGACCTTGTCCCAGATATTCCAGGTATACATAGACCATTACATTTATATTCTAGGTACACACTGACCTTGACCCTGGTACTTCAGGTACTCATTTACTTTGACATAAGCCATGCCCTTGACCAAGATCTCAATCTTGAACTTGATCATGGTTTTAATCTTCTTGAACTTAACCTTAACTTGGACCATCTTCTTGATCTTGACTACGTAACAGACATCGACCCTGATCATGTACGTAACCGTATATCTATATTAAGTCTGTATGAGTGGAAGAGATATGATAGGGATTGCTAAAACAGGAAGTGGAAAAACATTAGCCTTCCTTCTTCCACTTTTCAGGTAAATAAATTTATTAATATTAGGCTTTTAGGGCGCTTCGCGCCCATATACTTTGTCAATTGTGAACTTTTTCTCTTTGTATACATTGTAAAACAAAAACAAAAAAAATTTGCAGATTTTCTAAAACAAATCGTGGATTTTGAAAATTTATTGAAAATTGAATTTTGTTCCGATTCAAATTTTTGAACATTCGATCAAACATAAACCTTCCCTGGGGTCGCGTGAAGTCTCACAAAAAATTTACAAAATCGTTTATATGGATAAACTACAACAAAAAACTTGGTAAATATTAGCCAGGATTTCTCTCTTCACAAAAGAACAAGAGAATTTAAGGCTGAAAATCAAATTTACCCAAACTCTTTATTCAATTTGATCGACAAGTTGACTTCTCCGTTCTTAGACATATAGCAGACCAGGAGGAATTGGAGGAGGGGGACGGACCCATTGCAATCATCATGACACCAACCAGAGAACTTTGTCTTCAAATAGGTTATTCAATATTCATTTATTCACTTTTTCATTCATATATTTATTAATTCATCCTTTCATTCATCCTTTCATTCATTCTTTCGTGCATTTATTCATTCACTCATTCACCAATTTACTCATTTTTTCTTTCATTCAGACATTCATTATCCTGTCATTCGTTTATTTTTTCATTCGTTTATTCGCTCATCAGTTTATTTGTTAATTGTTTTTGTTCATTTGTTCATTTGTTCAATTGTTCATCAAAAGGGGCTTGGGAAAATACTGAATTCGACTGTGGTATTGTCTTAATACGCCACAAAGTGAATGTAAAAACATCTTTTGGTTAAATGATTGATTAATTGTCCACTAATTGATCTGTAGGTAATGAATTGATTAATTGATTTTGAACTAATTGATCTGCAGGTAAAGAATTGATTAATTGATTTTGAACTAATTGGTCTGTAGTTAAAGAATTGATTCATTGATTCATCTGTAGGTATAGTATTGAATGATTTATTGTGAACTAAGTAAACTGTAGGTAAAGAATTGATTGATTGATTGATTAATCTCTAATTGATCTGTAGGTAAAGAATGTCGTAAGTTTGCTAAATCTGTGAATGCCCGAGCTGTATGCGTCTACGGAGGGACAGGAATCTCAGAACAGATTGCAGAACTTAAACGAGGTAATCATTCAACTAATTATTAAAGGGAATATCGACGCAATTTCAAGTGAGCGTCCATTTTAAGATGTTTAATTGTTAATGGTACCCTTTAAACCCTCGTATAAGAAACAATTATGAAGATATCCTTGTTTTTCGGGAAATCTGGAAATTGATAATTTCGAATTGGGGTTTATCTATAAAAGTGATTTGCGGTTAAGTGTTGCAGAGACAAAAATGAAATTGTCAGAATTCAACAATTTTATAGTACGAAGTCCTTATTGCTCTAATAAATGTTTTAGGAGTCGGTATCGTTGTAAATCAGAAATTGTTTTTTATCTTGATCGATTGGTTAATTGGCTGGTTAATTGACTGGTTGATTGACTGGTTGATTGACTGCATGATTGACTTGTTGATTGACTGGTTGATTGACTGATTGATTGACTGGTTGATTGACTGCATGATTGACTGGTTGATTGACTACATGATTGACAGGTTGATTGACTGCATGATTGACTGGTTGATTTACTGGTTGATTGACTGGTTGATTGATTTTTTGTTATATTAATTGATTGATTGTTATATTGTTATATTTTTAATTTAGGGGCTGAAATTATTGTTTGTACTCCTGGTAGAATGATTGATATGTTAGCGGCTAACTCGGGCAAGGTTAGTTCATACTCTGGTCCTTTTCTAGTTCCTTTATCCTCTTTGGTTCTATTTTCTTTATTCTCTTTGATTAGATTTAAAGGAATCTTGGTGTTCGTATAAATACGCTTTTATGGTAACTTTGCCACTTTGAACACTAACACTTTGCCATGTACACAGATTTTTTTTCATGCACAATGACGGATTTCAAAAATAAAAAAAATGTTAAGAAACAGATTTGTTGTGGAAAATTTTTTTAATTAAATTTTGGACTGATCTTAGCGTTTATTGGAAACAAACAAACGGACAAGTCAAATAAATATAACGATAATGCTTTTCTAAGGTGACGAACTTGAAGAGGATTACCTACCTGGTTCTGGACGAAGCAGACAGGATGTTCGACATGGGGTTCGAACCACAGGTTTGTCTTTTTTTAACAACACTTTTGATTTTCTAAATCTTAAATGTTTTTTTTTAATGAATGTTAGTGGACGCGGAAAATTTTTTATCAAGCAAAATAAAAATAAGACATTTATTACCTGTCAAGACCCAAAAATGGAATATCCAGAACAGCATCGTGTTTTGGTTAGGTCCACGAGATAAAATTACAAAAAACTTACATTTTCTAAAAATTATAAAGAAAAAATATTGTATGGAGGAGGGTCTTGATTGTTTTGATTTATTATTGAATTATTGATAAGTGTGTGTTTAGGTGATGCGTGTATTGGATAACTGTAGACCAGATAGACAAACTGTTCTTTTCTCAGCAACCTTTCCCAGACAGATGGAGGTTATTCACTAAGTTTCTATTATTGTTTCGATTGAATACGTTAAAAAAGATCAATCTTAGATACAAAAAATTAGATTAATTGATTGATTTATGATTGTCGTTTGATTTTATTTGTTACCAGGGGTTAGCTAGACGGATTTTGAAATCTCCTGTAGAGGTTCAGGTTGGAGGAAGAAGTGTGGTAGCAAAGGAGGTTGAGCAACACGTGGCGGTAGGTTCTTGTTTTCCGCCATTTTTAGCTTTTAGATTTTTAATTCCCGCCAATTTTAAAAATAGAAATTCGTCTCTTCCTATTATTTATTATACAAATCTTTTAGGTCATTATTCTTAACAGATTTATGTTTCCAACTATTAGCTTATAGATAAAGATTTCTGCCATCTAATATTGGTTTTTATTTTTTATTCTTATTACTATAAACATACAAATTTTTACTTTTTACTTATTAACATAGACAACATAATTTTATAAAGACTCGATCTTCTTTCAAGATATTTTGAAAATAGCCTCGCACCTTTTCTTGTTCACCAACAATTAGGTTTCCTCGTACATTTTTATTTTTCAACTTTATTTCAATTTTTTTTAAAGATTGAAGTTAATTGAAAAATACTGTTGGTTCTTGAAATTTTTGTAATTTTGTTGAATGTTAATGAATGATGTTGTCAAGGTGTTGGAGGAGGACACTAAGTTCTTGAAGTTGCTGGAGGTGCTCGGGGAGTATAGTGATCAGGGGTCCATCATCATATTCGTAGACAAGCAGGAACATGCAGACGGTCTGCTTAAGGTAGTTATTATATTAGTAGACTTAAATGGAGAAACCACAATTGGAATTAATCAAATCAATTAAAAAACTTAAATACTTATCTTTTTTAAACCGCAATTGGAATTAGTCAAATTTAAGATATCTCATTTTAAGATATCCCCCTTCATCATAATAATGACCCCCTTATCTTTTTATTGCCTCCTTGTTCTTTATATTGCCTCCTCTAATCTTTACAAAGGCCCCCTTATTTTTATATTGCCCCCTTTAATCTTCATCCTTATTTTCTCCTTATCTTTATAATACCCCCTCACTCATTAATTCCCTCCCCTTCATCCTGCGATCCCCCCCCTCATGCTCGCAAAGCTCCCTGTAAAGGAAGATATATACCCCTGATGAAGTGTAGTCCCCCCTGTGCTATTGATATTCTTCTTTGTTTCAGAGATTCTACAATCTCGAATTTTAAACAGGGGCGCGTGCAGATCCTGGTCGCTACGAGCGTGTGCGCGCGCGGCCTCGACGTGAAGAACCTAATCCTGGTGGTTAACTACGACTGCCCGAACCATTACGAGGATTACGTGCACAGGGTTGGAAGGACCGGCAGGTATTTTGATTGATTGATTGATTGATGATATATAATTAAGTTTTAATTGATAGACAAAAAAATCTGAATGTAAAAATAAATTCGCACTGAAGTATTTTAAAATGATAACTGAACCTGGGTTAATAGCACTAATCGCTTGGTCTCATGTCTTGATGATTATAAATTTCTATTTTCTGTAACTCTAGGGCCGGTATTAAAGGCTACAGTTGGACATTTATCACCCCAGAACAAGATTGGTATAGCGGGGACATAATGAGAGCTTTAGAACTTTCAGACGCATTAGTACCACAGGTAGATAATTAGATTTTATTATGGGTATAGCGGGGATATAATGTGAGATTTAGAGCTTTCAGACTCATTAGTACCATCACAGGTAGATAAAATAATTTTATTATGGGTATAGCGGGTTATAATGAGAGCTTTAGAACTTTCAGGCTCACTAGTACCACAGATAGATAAATAGATTTTATTATGGGTATAGCGGGGATATAATGAGAGCTATAGAGCTTTCAGACTCATTAGTACTACGGGTAGATAAATAGATTTTATTATGGGTATAGCGGGGATATAATGAGACTTCAGACTCATTAGTACCACAGGTAGATAAATAGATTTTATTATTGGTATAGCGGGGATATAATGAGAGTTTTAGAGCTTTCAGACTCATTAGTACCACGGGTAGATAAATAGATTTTATTATGGGCATAGCGGGGATATAATATGACTAACCCTGGATATCCAAGAGAAATTAAATTAATTCAAGATAAAGAATGGAGATCAATGCTTAATCCCGTGGTTCACAATACAAAAGTTTTGACTTCTGTTTATTTTTATTTTATTTCCAGGAGTTGAGAGATTTGTTTAAAGTGTACAAAGATAGAATGGAAAGTGAAGGGAAAAAGGTAAACAAGTTTTTAACGAAATAAAATACTTAATATACAACAATTTTTTGTTTTATGTCCAAAAGTTGAATTTTTGTAAAGGTGTTAAAATTAAAATTAGGATACTCTCACCTGTATTTTGTGAGTTCTAAATTTACTGGCGTACCATAAATTTTACCCAAACAATCAGTGGTCTTTTGTTTTATTAAGCTAGTCTGTTTTTTAATTACATTTTAACTGAACAACCTTAAAAAGTTGTCTTTCTATTTAACAATAAACATAGCTCTTATTGTTGTGCACTTGCTCTTATATCAATATCTGCTATACAAAAAAGATTTATTTTTTAACAAGTGAAGATATTTAATTCCAAGGATTTTTTTTCAGATTTAAATGAATCGTCCACTGTAAAATTATTGTTTTAATGAATTATCTAAATCTAAACTATATTTAAAAATGTGTTGCTTAGATCAAAGATTAAAAACTAAATTTTATCCAGCTTTTTTCTTTTAATATCTAGGTTCTAACAGGAGGTGGGTTTGGTAAATATAAATATATATATTCCTGTTTCTAGGTACGAACAGGACGTGGGTTTGGTGAATATAAATAATATTCCTGTTTCTAGGTACGAACAGGAGGTGGGTTTGGTAAATATAAATATATATATTCCTGTTTCTAGGTTCGAACAAGAGGTGGGGTTGGTGAATATAAATATATATATCCCTGTTTTTAGGTACGAACAGGAGGTCGGGTTGGTGAATATAAATATATATATTCCTGTTTCTAGGTACGAACAGGAGGTGGGTTTGGTAAATATAAATATATATATCCCTGTTTCTAGGTACGAACAGGAGGTGGGTTTGGTGAATATAAATAATATTCCTGTTTCTAGGTACGAACAGGACGTGGGTTTGGTAAATATAAATATATATATTCCTGTTTCTAGGTACGAACAGGAGGTGGGTTTGGTGAATATAAATAATATTCCTGTTTGTAGGTACGAACAGGAGGTGGGTTTGGTAAATATAAATATATATATTCCTGTTTCTAGGTTCGAACAAGAGGTGGGGTTGGTGAATATAAATATATATATCCCTGTTTTTAGGTACGAACAGGAGGTCGGGTTGGTGAATATAAATATATATATTCCTGTTTCTAGGTACGACCAGGAGGTGGGTTTGGTAAATATAAATATATATATTCCTGTTTCTAGGTACGAACAGGAGGTGGGTTTGGTGGAACTGGGTTTAAGTTTGACGAATCTGAAGCACAGTACACAACAGAGAAAAAGAAGTTTCAGAAAGCTGCTCTTGGTCTTCAGGTTGGAGATCTATCTATCCGTACATCTGTCTAATCAACTATCTATCTATCTATCTATCTAACTTTCCACTTTCTTTATATATATCTATCTATTTATTTAATTATCTAACTATCTTTATGTTCATTCATCTGTCTAATTTGTATCTTTCTATCGTTCTATGTATATATATCTTTCTATCTCCATAGTTTTGTTAAAAAAATTCAAGAAACATTTAGGTTCCGTATCTTATCTATACGTCAATTCTATCCAGTATCCATTCATCTGTCTAGCTATCTATCTATCTATCTATCTGTATCTTTTTTTATTTATCCATTTTTGTTTGAGAAGTTCAAGAAGTTCCATATCTTCGTCTATCTATCTATCTATCTATCTATCTATTTATCTATCTATCTAGGATTCTGATGATGAGGATGTAGAGCAGGAAATAGATGCTCAGATAGAACAGCTCCTCTCCGCTAAGAGAACAGTCAGAAATATTGATGCTACGGCAGCAGCTAATCTTATTGGTAGGAAATCTAGCCCATTATTCAGTTTTATTTAAACAACACCTTTTTACAATTTCATTCCTTTACAAATGATAGAGTTCAGTGACTAAATGAAAGTTGATAATCATAATTATTTATAAAATGTATTTTTAAATATGAAGCCATTATCTTTCTATTTATCTATCTATTTATCTATCTATCTATCTAGGACCTGGAGCTAAGAAGCCTGGAGAGGGTGGAAGTGCCCAAGCATCTGATAAACTTGAGTTGGCCAAGAAGCTTGCCAGTAAAATCAAAATAAAGGACCCCAGAGACAATACACAACAGGTATTTTTCAGGTGTTAAAGGAGTGTCCGCCATGTTTTCTAAAGAGAGAATGTCGGGTTCCTTTTTAGATCTACCCTTATTATTTTTATTATTATCTGCCTTAAAAAACTTGTCTGAAAAAGGAACATCTGTCATAGATTACCCTTACAGACCCTTAAAGGGAGTTCACCCCTAGGAATTATTTTTTTAGATTCAGTTTTAGCCAGAAAAGGGAAAAGGGATAGTTTTTTTACCACTATATTACCACTTACCGGTTACCACACTTAATGTTAAACCACTGTCAATATTATACACACTTATGATTTTCCACTAATATTAGTAGTGTGGAGGACCAGTTTATTTATATATATTTGTCATATCTATCCGTGTTTATGTATACATGGAAGTAAACCAGTTCCTGTCAACTCCCTCTTTGTACTTTACTAAATACATTATACGCAAATACATATTCAGACATCCAGTGTTCTCTCTCTCGAGTATATCCAGGCTCCGACCTTTACAGTAGAATAGTTGTTGGAAGTAAATAATTCTTCTCCATTTTTAACTTTTGATTTGTTCAATATCTTTTACTTACAAAAGTGGGAGGCTATGAGCCTTGCTGATTTCTGAAACTAAAAGTCGTCTTTTTTCAATGCTTAAGAGATCTGAGGGCAGTTCGCTTATAATTTATTATAATTTCATGATTTAACTTTATTTTAGGCAACTGAGGATTTCTTGAACAAGGGCGAGGGAGGAAATAAGATATCTGCTAAGTCTGTAGCGGATCATCTTGCCGCTAAACTAAATGCTAAGTAAGTTCTTAATTATTCTTTCTTTTATCTTTCTTTTTATCTATCTATCCTTTCGATTTATTTTTATGTTTATCTATCTATTTATCTAACTATTTATCTATGTATCTAACTTCTTTTTATCTATCTGCTCTATTTAGGTTAAATTATATTCCTTCTGATGATAACCTGAAACCAGAAGAGGGAGGTGTTTTCCAGAAGTTTGAGGAGGAACTGGAGATCAATGATTTCCCACAGCAAGCCAGGTATATGATCATTGATCATTGATTGCTAGCAGGCCAGTATATAATCATATAATCATCACCAGCAGGCATGGTATTTGATTATTGATCACTTGCTGCCCAGGTTCATGATCATTGATTAATAGTAGACCATGTCTATGATCATTGATCTCGAGTAGGCCAGGTATATGATCATTGAACGCTAGCATAAATTCATTGTTTACATGAGTTTCATGAGGTTTCTGATATTATTATCATTATCATCATTATTATCATTATCATCATTATTATCATTATTATCATTATCATCATTATCATCATTATTATCATTAACATCATTATTATCATTATTATCTTATAATCTTTATTATCATCATTATAATCATTATAATCATTATTGATCATTTTCATTATTTTTATTTATTTGTTAAAGATGGAAGGTGACGAGTAAGGAAGCTCTGGCTCAGATAGCTGAATACTCAGAAGCTGGTCTCACAGTCAGAGGTACCTCATCTATTTATCATGGTTTTTAATGGCTTTTTTTGTGGCAACAAAAAATAATTTTTCTGTAGGAAAGACTACTGTGATTGGGAATTTTTAATTTTGAACCTAAAACCCCTGAGTTAAAACATAACAGTCCCAGTCCCACCCCCTCCCTTAAAGCTATAATCTAACACCCCTGAGTGAACCTAAAACACCCCTTTATTCTAGGTACCTACTATGCTCCTGGAAAGTCTCCGCCTGAAGGAGAGCGAAAACTCTTCTTGGCGATAGAGTCAACCTCGGAGCTCGCGGTGCAGAAGGCGAAGGTGGAGATCACACGACTTCTCAAGGTAGGAGGCAGTTCATTGATCGATTGATAGATTGATTTTTTGGTTGGTTGATTGAGTCTGGTTGGTTTGCTTTTTGGTTGATTTTTGTATGGTTGATTGATAAATATAGTGGGTTAGTGTGTGATTGATTGATTCATAGGAAGATCAAGTTTGAAAAATATATTGGGTTAGTATGTGATTAATTGTTAAATTGGGTTATTGTGTGATTGATTGATTAAGTGATTGATAAATAGATTATGTTATTGTGGGATTGATTGATTAATAGATTGTGTTAGTGTGTGATTTTATTATTGATTAATAGATAGTGTTAGTGTGTGATTTATTGATAGATAGATAAGCTTGTAATTGATTGATTAATAGATTGTGTTAATGTGTGATTAATTGATTAATAGATTGTGTTAGTGTGTGATTTATTAATAGATAGATTGGGTTAGTGTGTGATTGATTGATAAATAGATTGGGTTAGTGTAAGATTGATTTATTAATAAATTGTGTTATATGTGATTGATTTATTTTTAAGATTGTGTTACTGTGTGATTCATAAAATTTTTAATTTTTAATTTATTTATTTTCTAATTTATTTATTAATGCATTTATTTATTTCAGGAGGAGTTAATGAGATTATCCGCCAGCTCTATCCAACATATCAACAAGGGTAGATACCAGGTTCTATAGAGGTCATGGAGAACATTCTATACAGTACATGTGTACACAGACGGAAGTGTACACAGAGTTCACAGAGTACAAGGTTCCAGATAAACACTCATGGAGTACACAAAAGCTTCCAAATCTGTCTGCTGGAATTACAAGAATTTTAGTAAAACCAGTTATTTTTTTCTCTTTTTGTTCAAACTAGCTTAATTTGGTTAGTTTCAAATCCAACTACATTTTAGTCATTCTAGCCCCGATCACGCTATTCTGGCTCAAGCCACGCCATTATATCCTCTATACCTACCGAATTAAGTTATATACCCATTGTCGTCTTCAATTTTAGATACAAGATTTCACTCTATACCACTACAATCCACCCAAGTCCTCCTGCCTGTAAATTCCAGCTCCTAACAATACATTTTAATTTTTTTAGTCTTTTTTCTCATCTAGCATCATCCGATTTTTCCCCACTGCCACCCAGTTTAGATAAATGAATCCAAATGGTAAACTGAAATCTATACAAAAACCTTGTCTCAAATTTCACTGATTTCACTGACTTAATTTGTCACCGCATTTCTAAAGAAGTTTTATGGAGGTTAGAGAAATTTAGAAATGTTAAAACATAAAAAGGCCGAAAATTATCCCTTTAAAATATGTATTTAATGAGACCTAAAGCTAAGCAGTAAGCATTAAGCATGTTAAAAAAATTAATAAAAATGTGAATTATTCATTTTTCTGAAAAATATAGATTTGACACTTTTTAAATCTTTTTTTATATGAACAGACCAATATAGTTATTTTTTTCCCTAACAATAAATGTTTTTTCATAAAAGATGTAGCAACGTCTGGAACAAAATGGCGGAAAAATCCGGGAAAATGTCGGATGAACCTGAAGACAAGATGGTGGGCGGATCTGACAATATGGCGGAACGTTCTGAGTGGAAAACAGAAGTTGAATGGCAGGGAAAGATCACAGAGAAATGTATTTTCTTAAACTGAAAATTTTAAATGACAGTAAAAATAAAATCATTTAAATATTTAAAATTTGTTTAGGCCATCCCTGCAACTTATGATTTGATTATTTGACAATTTTTTTGGGAGTCATTATTAAATGACTTTTTTCACCGTGTGACAAAAGTGTATTGGGATATCTACTGATCAATATTTGTCAAGTTGTGAACTATACCTTTGCATTATTGGTAAATCCTTATTTCAATTCCAGCCTAAAATTGCAATTTATCCTTCATTCTCTAAAATGAAGGTTCAGTTAGAGATTATGTGACAGATGCTAGAGTTTTTAGGGATTAAAATGTATTATGTGGCAGATTTTTGGGTCTAAGATTTAGTTTTTAGCAGATTTTAAAGTCTTTTGAACTGTTTGTGGCATGTGCCTAAAAGAATTAAAAGGCACTGTAAGTGTAAATTTACGTAACCCTCCATGCAAAGATGACAAAGCCTGATTCACAACGGTGCCTTTAAAACCTGTTTCTGACAATATTTACCATGGGCTTGAATCGATTCGTACGATTATCTTGCATAATGCTTAAATGTTGAAATACCTCCACTGTTGGAAATATTTTTTTAAAGAAAAATGAACTAAATCTTTGTGTCTACACATATATGTAAGTAACCTTGATATATGTCGGATTTTTTTTTCTTATGCTACTCCCGATCAGCCATGGATTTCCTTAAAAATGTCAGCCCATTCGGTCCAGCCGTTTGGCCAGCTATACCTGATATAGAAATATATACATATATATAATATTAGCTAAGAACCTAATTACATAGAAGAAGATATGTCTAAATTGGCCAGAAGCTGGGTTTCTTAATGTCTAGATTGGCCAGAAGCTGGGTTTCTTAATGTCTAGATTGGCCAGAAGATGGGTTTCTTAATGTCTAGATTGGCCAGAAGATGGGTTTCTTAATGTCTAAATTAGCCAGAAGATGGGTTTCTTAATGTCTGAAATTGGCTAGAAGCTGGGTTTCTTAAACATGTTTAAACCCTGTAGTTAGTTTGCGGTACAGCTAAATAAAATACCTGCATTAGTCTCCGGTTTCTTGAGCAATTTTCTATCTTGGGACGGTAATCAAAATTGATCCCAACCCAGGGTTTTTAATGGGTTTAAAAAAGTAAATTCTAAAACAACCAAGGATTCTATCCAGGGTAACACAACTAAGAAAACCAGCTGATTTCATGTCGTCTTTTAATTGTTTTCGGCAGAATTTGTACTAATTTACTCACACCCATGATGTAATGTTGAAGATACTGTCGTTTTTCTAGGTTTAAAAATCTTAAGTTAATGTTTTCCTGCAGTAGTAACGTGCTAGTCAGTTATGTAGAAAAAGGATTAAAGGGTTCTGTTGTCAATCAAGCATTCCCATATTTGCATGGAGAGTCACTTGAATTTACAGACTGTTAAGTGGCATTTTGTGTGTGTTATGAGTATAAGTAGACTGTACATTGTACACTGTACGTACAATGTTCACTTCCATCAATTCTTAAACTATTTTTGCAATTCGTTTATTAGGTTTGATTGGTTTATCATCCGTGACTACGTGATCTAAACGTTTATTAGGTTTGATTGGTTTATCATCCGTGACTACCTGATCTAAACGTTTATTAGGTTTGATTGGTTTATCATCCGTGACTACGTGATCTTAACGTTTATTAGGTTTGATAGGGTTATCATCCGTGACTACGTGATCTTAACGTTTATTAGGTTTGATTGGTTTATCATCCGTGACTACCTGATCTAAACGTTTATTAGGTTTGATTGGTTTATCATCCGTGACTACGTGATCTTAACGTTTATTAGGTTTGATAGGGTTATCATCCGTGACTACGTGATCTTAACGTTTATTAGGTTTGATAGGGTTATCATCCGTGACTACGTGATCTAAACGTTTATTAGGCTTGCTTGGTTTATCATCTGTGACTACCTGATCTAAACGTTTATTAGGTTTGATAGGTTTATCATCCGTGACTACGTGATCTAAACGTTTATTAGGTTTGATAGGTTTATCATCCGTGACTATGTGATCTAAACGTTTATTAGGTTTGATAGGTTTATCATCCGTGACTACGTGATCTAAGCGTTTATTAGGTTTGATAGGTTTATCATCCGTGACTATATGATCTAAACGTTTATTAGGTTTGATAGGTTTATCATCCGTGACTACGTGATCTAAACGTGTAGGAGGGTTCGGAGAATGATTTCAAGGATTTTAAGGAGATAATGCAGAATGCTAAAAAGAGCTCTGGACATTCTCCTTCCTCAGGAGGTTCTCCCTCCTCCAATTCTTCAGGAGAGGAGGAAGAAAAGGTATATGAATATTTATATATTTTATTATTTGTTTTTGTTGCCAAACTCTAACTTATGGGAACACTTTAATGTACGAAGAGAAAATAAATTTTAGAAGTTTTAACCCCACCCCCACCCCCGCCTTCAAATGAATGCGTAAATAAATTTTCTTACTTACACAAAAGTTCCATTTAAAAAAATGAACAAGTTATCAAATAGCGCATCAACTTTGGAAATTTCTAGAATGGAGAAAAGCAGGAGAAAGTTAACGGAGAAATAGATACCAACGATAAAGGAGAAAGGGAGAAGGGAAAAGGAGAAGAAGAAAATGATATGAAACTGTTAGCGGAAAAGATGGAGGGAAAAGAAGATAATCTGGAAGAAGACGACATAGAGGAAATCGGAAGAAAGTAAGTAAAAATACATCCATAATATTCTTCAAGAAATAAATTCTAATTCCTAATATCTTACAAACTTTATTGAATGTAGGGTTGTCTTATAGTATTAGATAATTTAGTGAAACTAACTAAATATAATTCTTGTATTGTTAGTTTGTATGAATGTTCTTGACTATACTTTTTCCTGTACTGTACTGTACTGTACCGTACTGTACCGTGCTGCACTACACTGCACTGCACTGCACTGCACTGCACTGTTATTTAGGTTTGAAGAGTATAACAAGTTCATTGATACAGAAACAGAAGATGAAGATAACCCAGACGAGGTAATAGAACTAGAAATTTTGAAGATTTTTGGTGGATTTCTAAAATGATTAAAACCGTATTGAAAAGTTATGTAAACTTTTATAAAATCTTTGGTCGACCACGAATATTCCCTTGGATTGTTTGAGATTCTATAATAAAGAAAGGTGTCCCAAAAAAGGTGCACGGATCAAATTTGGTCGAGTCGCTGGGAACCTAAAACTTAAATATTTAATATTTATGAAGTCAAATAACAAGTTTCCTTCTAAAACAAAACCAAGTTTGGGCTAAAAACCCAGAACTCAGTTTGGACCTGAACCTAACTCCTGTTTGTCGGAGCTCAAAACATTACCTACATTTCAAGATTTATTTCACATTGAATTTTAGGATTTGGATCCTGGTTCAGATAAACCTGAAGTAAGAATACTGTGGGCTGCTCAGCATAATAAACTAGAATTAGTTCAGGTAAATACCAGGGGAATATATGGGGGTGGGAGAACTTAAAAATCAAAAACATTTACTTGTATTTACAGCACATGGTAAAGCATTTTCTTTCTCCCTATTCTAATCCCCCCCCNTGTTTTGTGTAAAGTTTCCTATCATATACTTAATAGTTTTATTTTATTTTTGATAAGTGATTTTTTGATCTTAGTTTTTGTGAATGTATTTTTTTGGGTCGTCATTCAGTTATGATATAATTTTATTCAGACAAAAGTTCAATTTCTTTAATTTCAGGAGATGTTAGAAAACAAACCAGGATTAGGTAGAAAATAAATTTTTTTAATAATTTAATTTTGAACTAAATGCAATTCACGCCTCACGGCCCTGTGTAAGCTTCTGGGCTTCATTAGATATTTACATTTTTTCAATAATATTTTTGTCTACAGTGGGGGCACGTGATGAAGATTTGTACACACCCCTTCATAGAGCAGCATACAGTGGTCATACAGAGGTAAAGCGGGTTAAAGTCGTCTTTCTTGAAAATCTCTAAAAATATTTTTCGATTTAAAAAAGGAAAGGCTTTTTATGTACAAAAAAAAGTATGATGGCTCAAATATATACATGAAAACCAACCAACAAACCAATCAACCAACCAACAAACCAATCAACCAACCAGCAAACCAATCAACCAACCAACAAACCAATCAACCAACCAACCAACAAACCAATCAACCAACCAACCAACAAACAAACAAACAAACCGACCAACCAACAAACCAACAAACCAATTAACCAACCAACCAACCAATCATCCAATCATCCAACCAATCAACCAACCAACCAACCAACTAATCATCCAATCATCCAACCAATCAACTAACCAATGAATATCTAGATGGTACGGCTATTGCTTGCTAATGGTGCGGATCCGCTAGCGCTAACAGATACTGGATGGACACCTCTACACAGCGCTGCTAAATGGAATAATGTTGATATTGTAGAACTTCTTCTGAATGCAGGTCAGAGAACTAGATAATCTTTATGATAATTTTTTTTATGGAAACTAATTCAAAGCGATAAAAATCAGACAAAGTTCGGGAATTGAGAAAAGAGCTTTTCTCATCTCTAATCTCTTATTTAATTAATTCTGGTAATTCTGGTATGAACACACTAATAGCATAGTAATAAATCAGATTATTTTGATTGTTTATTTGATTTATTGCTTAATTGGTTGGTTGATTAATTGATTGATTAGTTGATTGATTAGTTGATTGATTTTTGTTTGCTTTTTTTGCTTGACATTTTTTGCTGATTGATTGATTATTTGATTAATTGATTGATTGCAGGTGTACCTGTTAACACGGTATCTGAGGGAGGTCTGACTCCTCTTCATGTTGCGGCAATGAGCAAATCTTGTCGAGAAACCATAGGTTATACAATTATAGTACAGTACAGTGTGATTCTCAATATTTTCTTTAAAGGGAATGTGGGCCGTGGGGTATTTTAAACCGATTTAAAGCCTTATATGTCCATTACCCGATTCAAAACTTCTATCTATATAACTATCTTTCACATTATACATCGCAAACTGGATATAAAACATTATATTTCATCAAAACAAATTTCCCCTTCCCTATCCTACCTTCCCCCACGTAATTACATTGAATCTATATTTAGAATTATTATTGATGCAGCCTGGAGTAGATCTCACGCTAGCCAGTAATCAGGTAAAAACTTTGATTTAACAAAAAAATCAAAATTCAATCATTTACATACTTTTCATTTAGTCTGCAATTAAAATTTTCTTATTTAGGGGGGGGGATGTCTTTTATCGAATCCGTTAAAAATTCAGAATTTTTAATAAACATTTGCCATTGACAAATATCTGCTTCTAAAAAAACTGACAAATTGTTCTTTTTCCATCTGAAAATTGACATCAAGCCTTTGTGGTTTTAGTGATTTTAAAAAGTAATTCGTGGATTTCTACAGCAACGTTTCAAGTGCTTATTTTCAGGGTGACACTGCTGCAGAAATAGCCTTTAGGAATGGTCCTTTGGGTCCTCTGTTCCAGGCTTGCTGGCCTCAATCCACATTCAGATATAGAACACAACATTAAACATTAAGAATCTTTGCTAAATTATACTTAATCAATATTAAGATGTTAAATTATACTTAATCAATATTTTGATGTATGTAGAGGACAAAACTTGTTTCTTCGCAAAATTTGATAAGACAGAGGAAAAAATATGGCTCGTGGCTTATTCGTTAGTTTGGCCAGCATGAATTTTCTCTTAACTTTCATATACCCAATACCCATGCAACCTCAACCACCCTCTATTCCAGTATATATATTGTAAATTATTATTTTTCAAAGTGCCTTTCAACTAAGGTCAAACCTTTCACCCCCCCCCCCTCCCCTTAAACCCCGTCTAAAAATATTGGGAATTAAAAAAATGAGTATTCATTCTCTTTTCTTAACAAATAATTCATTCAGATATTTACTAATGTGCAACAAACTTATATTTCTATTGCAATTTTTCTGTAATGTTATTGGTGAGCGTGAATGTGATGTCTTACCTTTAAAATCTTTTCTGATTTAGACATCAACATAACTTCAGAATTATTGCCTTTGTGTTATTACCTTTCCTTGTATTACTTAAATAATCATTTAATATTTTCTTAATCATACCATTTGACAATAACTCATTAACAGACTTGATCGTTCACTAAAATTATCTGTTTCATTGATAACAATTTTGTTTCAATATGTTCAATAACGAAATTTTGTTCAAATTTTTTCATATAAAAAATGATTATTCATTCTCTTTTCTTAACAATAAATTCATTCAGATATTTACTAATGTGCAACAAACTTGTATTTCTATTGCAATTTTTCTGTAATATTATTTTTAAAATCTTTTCTTCAGAATTATTGCCTTTGTGTTATTACCTTTCCTTGTATTTTTTCAGAGTTAAAAATGGGTGGTAGGGGGAAGGGTAAATCCCCTGCTGTGCTCGGGGATTTTATTGCCCTCGGTAAGATGATCTTTTATCATTTTGGGGGTAAAGGGACTGTACACGCTCCTCTGACCCTTTAGTGAAAGTAAATTTAACCTAAATTCTGACCTCGTCAACATTGTTTCACCGGCTAGTCCTATTGAGTGTCTGCTTTATTTGCCCAATGTCCTGGCGATATAGTACAAACTGGGACCGGAAAGGTTGACCCGGCTCGGAAATTCAAATGTACTACGGCTTCCCGTGTGTAGGCGTTATTTCATGTGATCATCTTTTTATTGAGTGGTCCGATTAACAACTGTACCATTATACGTTTTTCATTGTTAAATTCTAGCAATTTCCTTCCTTATTCCTGCAACATTAATCTGTAAGTAATTAAAGATTAGTACTTTTTCATAGAAAAGTAGCGATATCAAATCAAGTCTAAAAAGGTTAAACCAAGGAGTATGAAATAGAAGGGAGATACAACTGACGCGGCCCGCCATATCATATGATATTGCATGCTTTGCATACAGTATTTTATTTGAATAAGAAATATTTGTCTGATGTACAATTACTGCGATACAATAACCTATTCTGAATATTTATTAAACAAATGAAGTACCGTCTACAAAGCATGTATAATCATATGGTAGGGTGGGACGCATCAGTTGTATCTCCCTTCTAATCCATACTCCTTGGGATAAAAGGATAACGTTGCGAATCTGACATGCCACTAAATAAATGAAAGTTCACTTGAACGTTAGTCTACAGTCCCGTAATAAAATAAAATTTTTCTTCGCTTAATCTGAGTTCAAGTTATCATACAGAAGTTTTTATTGTAGTTTTCCATTTTCTAGGTTAGATTTATTAATTGATTTATTTTCCCTTTGATAATATTTTATTTCTGAAACAGGAAGTAAACCTGGAGGGAGCGGAAGTAAACCTCCTTCAGTCAGTAATCTCACTCAGGCATCAAATTTTTAATTTAAAATTTGTTGATCTCATTTATACAAGATATGAATGAGCTTTTTGATGAATCTATTTATTCATATTTATTTATTTTCAGTCATGTGTGTTATCAAATCTTTTTCATTCGTCTTTTTGTAAATTAACTATTTCTCATAATTTTAATCAAACCTTAAGTTGTATCTATCTTTCCTTCTATCTATATATTATTCTTGATTTCATCTATCTACACATTTAGCTTATACATATCTATCTATTTATCTACCTGTATTGTATTATTCTATAAGTATTCTTCCAGCTTTGAGTAAGCTACTTGAAAAAATTGCTACAATACAAATTTTCAGATATCTTAATAAGTTCAATATCTTTTACGAGCACCAATATGGATTTAGACCTAAACATAACACAAATCGACCACTTTTGCATTTTATGAATAAAATCTATGAAAACCTTAATTAATATAAACCAGAATTTACATTTGGAATATTCCTTTATTTAACAGAAAAATTTATAACGTCGTGTTCCTCAAGGAAGTGTTCTAGGGCCCCTGCTGTTTCTTCTTTATATACGACTTGCCCCTAGCAACAAATTTTTTTACCACCCTCTTTGCAGATGATACTAGTTTTTTAAAGTCATCTCCTGACATTGCAAGCCTAATACTTGATGCAAACGCTGAACTAACAAAGCAGCAAAATGGTTTCAAGCAAATCTTTTGACACTGAATGTCTCCAAAACAAAGGATATATTATTTAGAAATAAAAATATGCACTTTGATCCCATTAGTTGTAATATATTAATAGGAAATGAGATACTTGAAAGGGATTGGTAATGACTGTGTGAACAAATATTTCAAATTTGTTGTACTTCAACTTGACGAATTTTTAAATTGGGATTTTCAAATTGAACATATCTGGAATAAAATTGCTAGCTCAATCTTAGCTTAGTCTCAAATTAAGAAAATCTTACCATTAAACATTCGTTTACTTGTTTATAACTCTCTTGTAAGGCCTCATATTGAATATGGAATTGTTACTTGGGGAGGGGTTAAAACTCTAAACTGCAAAAAATCAGATCTTTTCAAAAAAGGCAATCAGAGCGGTTAATAATAGTACTCTCAAGGCACATTCAAATCCATTATTTTCAAAACTGAAAGTTCTTAATCTTGATACATCCAAACTTATGGTTTGGACATTTATGCATTTACTTCCCTCTTCCTTCCAAAATATCTTTAAGACTTTAGAATAGAACAAAATCATATTAATTAAAACGGGGGGGTGGAATGCAATTGAAATTGACCTTAAAGAAACTAAATCTGCAAAAATATTTAAAGAAAGAGTAATCAATATTTATCTTGAGAATTATGAGAGGTTTAAATGCGAAAAACCTAGTTGTATATCATGTGAGTAAATTTTATATAAAAAAACTAAAAAACTGAAACTTTATTCGCTTATTTCTGTATCCACCATCCTTAACACCCTGTATTTTTATTTATCTCTACATTAATCCCTCTGATCTCACCCTGCCACAGATCACCTGATAATCTCCTTCCTTCCAATCAACTCCTTACCTATCCAAAAACATATCTTGATATGTGTAACCAATTATATTCAGTATCGTTAACTAACTTAGGGCCAACCACAAAAAATAACCTACCCTGGTTAGGCGGGTCCAAGCTGCATAGTAAATTGTGATTGCTTATTTGTAATATCTAATGATTTGTAGTTGGATAAAAATATAAAATATTTAGCCTATCTTGTCATCTATCTATCTATCTACCTATTTATCTATCTACCTACCTATCTATCTATTTATTTATTTATATATCTCTCTATCTATCTTATCTATTTATCTACCTAGTTGAATTCTCTAAGCAACCTACTGAGTAAGAAGGCTAAACCTAGCAGTGTCAGTAGTTTGACTGGAAGCAGTAAAAAACTAGTGGTAGGAGACAGGTAGGGATGTAATCAAGCAATCAATTAATCAAACAAACGTAATATATTTATCAATCAATAATACTTTAACTTTATATATCAATCAATTAACCAAACACAAACTTAATAAATCAATCAATCAACTGCACTCTTACTTAATATATCAGCCAAACAAATTCTTTCATGCAATCATTCAAACTAGCACAAAATCAAAAAATCAATCAATCAATTCCTAACACTGTCTTTAAATTGACGAAACCCTCAACTATAACACAATCAATCAATCATTCAATATATTTCAAGAACGAATGCCTGGGAGAGTATAGCGGAGGAAGTAAATACTGCTGATCTAGTTAATCTAGTAGAGGAGGCCATAGACACGTTAGTATTCATTCATTCATTCATCTTAAACTAAACAACTAATTAAACAAAGAAGTTAATTAAATAATATTAAGGGATGACATGGAAAGAGTTGACGCCCTACTGTGTGGTGCGGTCAAATCCCTCAGGTCAATTTATTTTACTTTTTCATTTTTGGTTTGGTCGGATTTTTAGATTTATTTGTCGATTGTTTGTACTTTTGATATTTTGTTAATTTGTTTTTGTTGGTTGTTTTTATTCGTTTTTGTTTGTTTGGTTTCACACCGATTTTTGTGTTTGTTTGTTTCGTTATTATTTTTGCTTGTTTTGCTTTTTTTCTGTTTGTCTTTTTTGTTGGATTGTTTGTTTATATTGTTGTGTAGTTTTTTTTTGTTTACTGTAAATGTACTGCAGGAAAGAGAGAGCTAAACCAGATCAGCTGCTCTGGTTAAGTTTAATGTATTTAGTCAAGGAAACAAATCATTTACATTTGATTTGAGTTTGCTGTTCATTTTTAATCTATAATTTTTATGTTGGCTTTCACAAAAAATAATGTTTTTTATCCGAATTTTTCCTTAACATAGATCTTCATTTTTGTAACATATAGTTGAGTAGATAAAAAATTCCAAAATAGCTTAGTAAGATAAATTTCGGGGTTATGGTCTCATCTATCCACTTTTTGGGACACCCTCTATCTTATCTGTAAAGTTTTTTTATGTTTAAATATAATAAGTTTACATATTTGATCAGAGACAATGAAAGTTGATTGTCAGTATTTTACTCTTTGTTTTTATAAGAGAGAACACGACAATATTTTGATCTTTCAAGGGATTTCTTTTAAAATTTAAGATTTTGTTAGACTGACAATTCAATGTTTACAAACTCAGATTATGCTAAAGATGCGCTTTGCTCACTTCTCAAACGGGATGTAAAGGTAAGATCTTCTTGTTTAAAGGGAGTTAATTTAAAGCTTTTAAAGGGTAAAGGAGGATTATATTTGTAATCAAAGAGAATAAAAAATATAGTAGAGTGGAATTTAGACAATCCCTCGGTATGAATTTTGTCAGTTCCTTTCAGCCTGAAAGGGAGTTCAAAGTTTACAAATCATGTAAATGTTCACAAATTATATGCAGTAGAGTACATTAATACAGTATGTTCCCTAGACTATCCATTTCAATTTCGATTTTTTAAAGTTGTTAAATAAACTTTATAAAATGAATCAGGTGAATAAAAAACATCATTTGATTTATAGTTATAACGGAAAATCATCGTTTGTAAAGTGAAAGGCATAGAGTTTATTTGAAATTATCATTGGTCAATTATGAAACCAGCCTATTTCATAATTTGGTTTTCTTTTAATATTAATTTTAGATTTTCTATAAAATGATGTTCCAGGGCCCAAAACGTTATATACAATATATTAAGTGTACCTGCAGTATGGAAACAATACAAAAAAATGGCCGTTTTACACGTTTTTCTAGTAAATTCCACTCTAATATTCAACGAACAGAGAAAGGGGAGAGAGTGGGTATTAAAAATATATTTCTGAGACAGAAATAAGGAAATACTTTTATTTTCTTTAGGAAAGTTACAAGAGCAAAGGAAACTCGTTAGTACCAGTGTTTGCTGCCAGTATTCTAGCCGCAGCGTTCCAGGTAATTTTATTTCTGTTCTACCCATTTAATGTCCCTTTAAAAATATTAGTCCTTTTAAAAGATAAATGCCTCTTACGGAATGATGGTATAAAGTTTGTTAGTTTTCAATTCATACTTGATCAGACAAAGCTTTCAAGGGTACTGTTGTAAATCGGGCATTGTCATCTTTTCATGAAGGGTCACTTGAAATTACGCATAGAGCCCCTGTACATGGTAAGATGGCCTGAAATGTTTACTGTTTAGAATGAACGTGAGTGGCCTGAAGTGTTTGTACGCGTTTATATGGATGATGCCATAGGTAGGATAATTACTCCATTCATTCATTCTCAGGGGTCTATGATTTTAAGAATTCCCCCCATCGCCCCTAACTTCCGGGAAAAATATTTTTACGAGGTAGGAAATGTTTTTTCAAGGTGAAACCCATCCCATCTGTTCATCTATTCATATAATTATCTGTTCATCTGTTCATCTGTTCATCTGTTCATCTGTTTATTTGTGAATTTGTGAATTTGTTCATTCATTCATTCATTCATTCATTCATTCATTTATCCAATTTTCATTCATCCTTACATTTGTTCATTCATTGAAGTAATTATTTTCATTACGTACGTTTTTTCATTCATTGATGTTGTATTCTTTAATTTTTTCATTCATTCATTAAACCTAGGAGAGAGAGTCTGGGTTGATCATCCTGAATGCAAACCATTTGTTGACAATATTTTAACAGGTAAACATTTCTCACATCTTGTAGATAGATAGATAATTTTTCGTTTTGGATTCAACATTCGAAATTTTACAATTTAACTTTTGTATAGAATGAATTCAAAATTTGGAAACTGAGAAAGTTCCATGCAACTTTGTAAAGAGTTCTTACTTAGAGAGATTGCAGACGTAACTATATATGACCCACCAATGTCTAATCTAAGAGAGTGGTAGATCCTACTCACAACTGTACCCGTCAAACTTTTCTCTGACTAAAATACCTAAATTTTCTTTTATTGTGTCTGCTGCATAAATTGTTTACGGAGAAATTCAAAATGAGAAATTTTAGATTAAAAACTAGGATATCTCATTTATTCTTGATTAGAAAAAGGTGTAAAGGGTACAGTTGTTAATCGAACACATTGGTGACAGTCTCTTTAAATTAGTAACTATTTTTTTACAGCCTTTAACACTGTGCTGCCTGCCCAAGTGAAGGGTGGGGATGGAGGAGGTCTGGGGGTAGGTGGGGAGGGAGTAGGTGTGTCCCCACCCACTGGGAGTAGTGGGAGTAGGACTCCCACCAGGTACGGGTAGTATTAATTATTGATTCAATGATTGAATGATTGGTTGGGTAATTAATTAATTCATTGAATGATTCATTCACAATGTTAATGTGATTTTATTTGGAAATTTATCTTCAGGATCAATTTAACAACAATACGTTGTATATAATCAAACTTCATCAGATTTAATTTTCTCAAATTAAAGGGAGTGTTCGCGAAAAATGAAAGGGTATAGGCTTATTGCGATAAAAAAGCGCTTTTGATCGCTACTAATCTTACTTCTATCTGTTGCGTCTATAATGAATGATGATATACAAACGATTGATTGGTTAATAAGACCTTATTTGATTTGATTATGCTTAATAATTAAATATATATATTTTATCTATTGATTAAACCTGATGATGAAATACAAATGATTGATCTGTGGATTTTGCCTGATGATTAAATACTTTTAATTGATCTTTTGATTAGGCCTTATAATAAAATACAAATAATTGATCTATTGATTAGACCTAATGATAAAATACTAATAAATGATGTATTGATTAGACCTAATGATAAAATACAAATAATTGATCTATTGATTAGACCTGATGATAAATTACAAATAATTGATCTTTTAATTAGGCCTGATGATGAAATACAAATAATTGATATATTGATTAGACCTGATGATAAAATACAAATAATTGATCTTTTGATTAGACCTAATGATAAAATACAAATAATTGATCTTTTGATTAGGCCTGATGATGAAATACAAAAAATTGATCTATTGATTAGACCTGATGATGAAATACAAATAATTGATGATTAGGCCTGATGATGAAATACAAAAAATTGATCTATTGATTAGACCTGATGATGAAATACAAATAATTGATCTATTGATTAGACCTGATGATGAAATACAAATAATTGATCTTCCGATCAACAAAGATCCCATCCAGGAGACAAACATATCTGTCGTACAAAGGTGAGAATATTTTTACCTGTAATGGGACAGTTTTCAAAATGATTTCAGGAATTTGTTGGTGGTTGTTTTTTCGTTCTGATGTTTCTTTAGACACCACTTCACAAATCTCTACATTGAATCTTAAATGAAACAAAAAAGCAGAATTCTTATATATAACAAATAATTATCCTTGAAAGAGATAATCATAGGATTTAAGAAAAAATTTCATACAAATTTAAAATAGAGCTTTACAGTGTATTTTACATCATAAACAATGAGTCACCTAGCGTCAAGATTTGAAACTAAATGTGTCCAATTCCATCCAGGTATGGTCAGCAGCAGGAGTATATTGATAAGATGGTTCTAACAGCTGTTAGAGAACAATTGAACAGACGACAAGGAACAGATTCAATCACAAGGAACTTTCTCAGGTATATACCAAGGAAACCAGCACCCTAATGCACCCTTATTCATAAGGTAGTCAGAGGTCATTGTTGTTCAGTGGGGTCAACTTGTGGGACCCTTTCCAATGTCAGATGTCAGAAAACCCCATTCTACTAACTACGTCGTCACAGCGTCGAGCCTGACCCAATGCGACAATTCCACAAGATTTGACGATTATTTGGGGGGGTATCCTTTCATCCTTTCATCCTTTCATCCTTTCATTCATTGATACATTTTTACAATTCGTGTATGGTAGGACCTGTTGTTGTCTGTGGCCTTGAACTGCTGCACCCACTCCCAGCTAGACGTTGAGATCATGAGCGCCCTCAGTAAGATGCGACTAAAAACTAAACCAAACATTAATCTTTTCCTCACCAGTCTCCGAGATCTATGTACTGTACACCCAGAGAACCTGGCAACTATGATGAAACAAACCATCTTCAATGAGTTATCAAATGCTAGGAATGTGTTCCAAGAACTAATTCTTTAAGAAAGCTTAAATTAAAGTCACCCTTTACTTAAAGAAAACTTCAATGAGTTGAGTTCTTTCGACTTCTAATTAAGAAACCTTGGGCGGAATTTAATGATTTGGAGAGAGGTTGCTAAACTACATACCGCCTGTTCAAATCCTGTATCACCAATTCAAAGTTAAAGATTCATTTGGATTTGAATTGGTGATTTAGGATTTGAACGACCGGTAGTTAATTCAAAGATCTCTTCAATTCATTAAATTCTGTCCCAGATTTGTTTTCTGACATAATTTTACTGTTAATAATTATAAAATAACAATTAAATATTGATATGTAATGTAAAGGGATATAAGACCAGTAATTTATCATTTATCTAAAACCCATTACACAGGAAAAGTTAAATCTTGAATATAATCTGAACGCATCTCTGTAGGAACACCAACAACATGGCAATGCTGGCAGTTATGTTTCAGACTGACCCAGAGAAAGCAGCGGGTAGTCTAGCTGCAGTATTTCTTGAACTGCTCCTCCAGAAGGATTGCTATCTCAGAGCTCTCAGGCTCCTTCTCAGAGAGATTGTTAGGTAATGATCTCAAATGGTTTATGGAGCATTAGCACAAAACAGTTAAAAAAAACATTGGGTATTTGATTTGTGAAAAAAAAGATAGGACATTGAATATAGGTCACATTTAATTTCTGGCAATTGTACTAACCTCATAGAAGATTGGGTTTAGTAAATAAGATTCTAAACATTGTACTTATGCCGTGGAATATAGGACATGATTAAAAAATTATTGGATATGGTTTAAGGGACATATGACATGAGACGCAGCACAACCATATTGAAAATGGGGTTTGTTTTTCTAAGATGCCTGAGATATGACCTGAACCTGCCAGTATTCTGCCTCAACCTCATGATGGATAGATTGAAGGACAAGTTCGAGAACTTCAAGGAGTTTGAGTTTAAGGTAATCATTGTTTGCTCAAATCATTGTTTAATTCATTCATATTTAGATTATCAATTTATATCTTAATTTATTTCATATTCTGGTTTAATCATTCATATCTTAGTTCATTCATTCATATCTTAGTTCATTCATTCATATCTTAGTTCATTCATTCATATCTTAGTTCATTCATTCATATCTTAGTTTACCTATTTATTAGTTCATTAATTATTTTATTCACAATTGATTTTTCATTTTAAATGTACTTGAGAATATGTTAATTTATTCATGAATTTATAATTTAGACTGATCGGTTGATAATAATAATATTATGATAGTATAGAAATTATAGAATGATAAATAGTAACAAATTCATTAATTGATTATTTAGGAGCGTATCTTGTGTAGTTTGGTGGATCTTATCACCCTCTCAATCTTCATAGGCGTTAGTCCAGCTGTCAGAGAGGGGTTCAATGCATACTCCAGGTAAAGGGGTTAGTCCAGCTGTCAGAGAGGGGTTCAATGCATACTCCAGGTATAGGGGTTAGTCCAGCTGTAAGAGAGGGGTTCAATGCATACTTCAGGTATAGGGGTTAGTCCAGCTGTCAGAGAGGGGTTCAATGCATACTCCAGGTATAGGGGTTAGTCCAGCTGTCAGAGAGGGGTTCAATGCATATGATTTTAAAAAGATAAAACTTTTATATTCATACATTTTAAATCTCGGGAATTATTTGTAATGTCAAATTTGATCAAAGGTATGAAATAAATAGAAGGATTTATAAGGAAGTGAAATTCTAAGAGGCCCCAATGTGGACCCCCCAGACGCCGTCAGGTGCAGGAAGCACTTGCTCTAACTGGACCTTTAAACCCCCAACAGTTAGACCAATGCCAGGAAAATAAAGAAGATTACATTCCAGCCAGTAAGTTGACTAACCAATTAACACCATTGGTTAGTGGGTATCTGACAACACTTTAGGTGAAGTATAGAGGTTCCCGGTATTTAAAGTGCTCCTGCTAAGACCATTCACCGATCCAGTATCAAGTTAAGTTTGCTGGCTCGTTTCAGTAGCACTTCTTAAGAGGCATTGTCTCTAAATTTCATGATTTTTTTTAAATTTACATCTCATTAGCTTGGTACAGCTGATCTGCCAGCAATCTGTCTGCTACAGACAGAAAGCTTTCTAAGCAATCTTTAATTAGTCGAATCAGAGCCAATCCTGACTTGGGTTCTATCTGAGCCCGAGTCTGTGTTTCACTTGTACTGTACTTGTACTGTAATTGTACTTTACTTGTACTTGTACTGTTCTTGTACTTGTACTGTACTTGTACTGTACTTGTACTGTACTTGTACTGTACTTGTACTGTACTTGTACTGTACTTGTACTGTACTTGTACTGTACTTGTACTGTACTTGTACTGACTGTACTTGTACTGTACTTGTACTGTACTTGTACTGTACTTGTACTGTACTTGTACTGTACTTGTACTGTACTTGTACTGTACTTGTATTGGTACTATATTTGCTGAACTATACTGTACTGTATTCCAGGGGAGATAAGAAAGATATATCTGCGTACAAGCAGTACCTTGTAAACATGAGTACAATACAGAAGAATGTCTGCTGGTGGATGTACGAGGTTGTCCCAAAACAGTACAAACCTGACCCACAGGTACACCTTAAAGACATTTTTAAGATTTATTTTATTTTATACAATGATAACCAGAAAACTCTGAAATAGGAAGACGACTTTTAGACTTCAGTTATGACTTTAAATAGTCTAATGAGCATGGGAAACACCAATTGTGAAGTGCTAACAGACCCATTGCTTAATGGTTTAATTAGTATCTTATTAAACAAATACGCTCAAGTATTGCTACAAAGTCGTTTTTCTATTTCAGAGTTTTCTGTTTATCACTGTTGTACAAATTATATTTAAAAAGGTGCTGATTGCTGAATTATGATATTAAAATGTACACTATATTGTTCAGGTGTACACAAACCTACTGTACAAGCTCTTGTTCATGGCACAGAATCATGAAGAGTACTACAGGTAACCAGTACAATTCAAAAACAAAGTGATACAGAGATATTTACACTGAAAAAGAAGGTTAGATACAGAGACATTAACAGTCCAAAAGACATTGAAATGTACTATTGGTAACCAGTTCAGCACAATTCAAAAACAAAGTGATGAAGAGATACACTACACTACTGGAGTAATAGGCCATCCCTGCAACTTATGATTTGATTTGTTTTGACAGAGATACAAAAATATTCACATAGACAAAGGCAGTGAAATACAGAGACACAAAGCCAGATAGACTTTCCTACAGTTTCACAAAGGAATTGACATACAGAGATACAAAGACATTGACTTAAAGATACAAAAAGACATTGGTATGCAAAGATACAAAGACAATGAAAGTCAGTGAAAAAAGACAATAAGATGACAATGACAACAACAATTACAAAAATAATGACAATGACAATGAAAACAACAATGACAATGACAATGAAAACAACAATGACAATGACAACAACAATGACAAATGACAATGACAACAATGACAACGACAACAACAACGACATTGGTAATTAACCAATTGATTTATCAATCCTCCACGAAGGTTGGATAACTGGCCAACTGAAGCTGATCGAGGGATGTTCTTCAAGATTACTTGTGAGATTCCAGTTCATGAAGATACAATACTGAGGTACATAATGTTATTCTTGTATTTTAGATTATTTCTGATTAGTGAACAATCTCTTTATTTTAAGATGTTCTGATTTGTTGAACAATCCCTTACTTTTAGAATATTCCTGATTGGTCTGCACAAGAACCTCCCCCTGAATGGACAGGATTGTTTAACTATTGCTGAAACTATGATAAAAAGAGCAGCAGGACTACATGCTCTAGTCTCTAAAGAATTTCCTATTCTACACTGTGAGAAGGTATCTATCTATTTATCTAACTAACTATTGCTGAAACTTAGATAAAAAGAGCAGCAGGACTACATGCTCTAGTCTCTAAAGAATTTCCTGTTCTACACTGTGAGAAGGTATCTATCTATTTATCTAACTAACTATTGCTGAAACTTAGATAAAAAGAGGAGCATCTATATATATATATCTATCTTGGCTAATCAGTTTATGGAGTGTGCATATACTTATCCTGAAACTATATCTTTACCCAGTACTATCCATTTAACCAACTATCTATCTATCTATCTATCTATCTATCTATCTATCTATCTATCTATCTATCTATCTATCTATCTCTATCTATCTATGTACCGGTAACGTAATGTAACACTCTATCTTTCTAGGCTAAACAGTTTATGGAGTGTGTATGGGAGTTGACCGCGTATACGTATCCTGAAACTATATCTCTACCTGCCGAATACCAAGCTCCCAGCATGGCCATAACAGCATCTTATTGGAAGGAAAGCTTTGCTAAAAGAAACGATAAAAAATATCGGAATATTTCAAGACATTGTAAAAAAAATGATATTTTGAAATTGAATTTATTTTCTTTTAACAACATCGTGCACATTAGGCCTGGCAATTGCTGTTGATAATGTCTGCGCACAATACTGTTCAGTTTGGGGCGCTCGGATGGGACAGTTATCCTACATTGCGCGCACTTATGGAGATGTGCATCACTTCCCAGGTACGATTTCTTTAAATATTTGTGCTTTAATTTTTCCTTCTATGGTGGCATAAAACATATCCTGTTTGCTCTCCGCTTACTCCCTAAATACTGACTAACTCAGCTCCCTAGTTTTTATTTTTATTTTTTTTACCATACTTTCCACTTAACATTTATGTTTGTTCCCCCACTTCTCATACAACAATGATCATCACCCCTAATAGTGGGAAAGGGGCAGACGGCCCCTTTTCTCACCTTCTTGCCCCTGAAGGTACTAGAGTCTGTACCTGATACATTAATAAACTTAGTGCCCTCCTAGTTTTTAACTGTGATGCTCCTGAAAATAATACCCTACTCTCTAGTTTGTGTTCCCTCCTCCTACCCTGGTCCTGGGAGCTCCTGAACGTGTTGATGAAGTGAGGAACCAGGAACTCCAGCTAGCACAGCTTGAGAACCAACAGATTTTAGGGATACATTCATTCATTCATATATCGTCCTTTTTCATTCATTCATTCATTAATCCTTTTATTTAATCATTCATTCATTTATTCATCCTTTTCATTTATTCATTCATTCATTCATTCATTTATTCATTCATTCATTTATTCATTCATACATTAATTTATTCATTTAATTTTTGATCCTTTCATTCAATCAAGCATTACTTAATTCATTCATTTATTCATCCTTTCATTCATTTGTTTATTTATGATTCATGTATTTACTTGTTAAGTCGCTTATTTTTTTATTCATTCAATCATACTTATATTCATCAAATCAGCGGATACAGCAATACATTTTTTAAGATATGTAGTATATGTTTTTAATTTTAAAGGTTAAGATCTTTAACTCATAATTCATAATAAGTTGTTCTGTCCAATATTTATATATATCCCTTCACTTTTCTATTTAAACACTGCGCCGAGCTAGATAAATGAGTGTACTGTAATATAGAGTTTGAATCTCGGCTAGCCGCAGCGTCAAGTAAACAGGTTATTACGGAGCAGAGCAGTCTTCTACTATCAACAATTACAAGGTAGGAGGACTGGAGTAGAGAGGGAAGGGGAGATCTAATCGAAAATGTGAAAGATATCGTCTTTTTCCTGACTCGAAAAGTGTTGCATTTGAATGATTTCTCCATTAATGGGCGAGTCACTATTTAATGAGAAGCCGCAAACGAAAATAAAACAAAAAAATGGATGTCTAATTGAGTCCGAAGTCTATTTCATATAAAGGAAGATGTTTAAAAAATATCATTGAAAGGAACTGATTCTCGCCATAAAATTCAATTTATCTTTGCAACTTTGATTTTGCAGAATTCATTGTATGACTAATAGTAATAAAATGGCCATAACTTCAGGTTGCAAAGATTTAAGGATTAGGGACCTCGGTAATTAGAGGCTTATTTTTTTGGTTAGGATGGATCCTCTTGGACCCCTACGACGTCCTCCTGCTGGAGTCCTTGAACAGCTGAAGCAGATGAATAGTCATTACAAGCTGGGTCATCTCCTCTGTAGAAGTAGACAACCGGACTTCCTACTCGATATTCTTCAGGTATTAGAGTGGTAATGACCCCCCCCATACTCATCCCAGAACATCTAGGACATGCTTGTCCGCTTTGTCTGTATAATCACCTTTTTCTCAAAATTCACACTTAGTAATTAAGCAATGTTATAATTTTTTTGCTGTTTTGTTAAATCTAAAAAATTAATTTTATTTTAGAGACAGGGAACCCATCAAGCGATGCCGTGGTTAGCCGACCTAGTGGAATCTAACGAAGGAACATCGTCAAATCAAAAAAAAAACTCCGCCAAAATTATTTTATTCTTACCAAGATTACACTGGGCCACTTATTTTTGAACAAACAAGGACTTTAAATATTCAAACTTGATTATTTTTTTCATCCTGTTAATTAATTTTTTCTCGCAATTTAAGCATCAAGAGTAAAAAACCTTACGGAGTAAAAAAATAGAAGATTGTTCCACATTTTTTGAAAATATATGATGGGCGGATTTTTGGTAATGTCAATTTGGTAATGACAATTTGTAATGACATTTTGGTAATGACAATTTGGTAAGGTGAAAATTTGGCAACGACAATTTGGTAATGACAATTTGGTAAGCTCACAAAAATGACAATTTGGTAAGGACAAATTGGTAACAACAAAAAAGTGACAATTTGGTAGCTACAAAAAAGTGACCATTTGGTAATAACAATTTGGTAACTACAAAAAAGTGACAATTTGGTAATGACAATATGGTAACTACAAAAAAGTGACAATTTGGTAATAACATTTTGGTAACAACAAGAAATTGACAATTTCTTAATAAAAGTTAAATTTAATTCAGTTTAATGTTTAATAATGTGCTGTTTCTGAGATTATTTAGGGTTAGGTTAGGTGAAGTCAATTTATGACCCAAAAGTTGCGGCTAGGATGGGCTAAGGGCCAAGCACTGCATCCTCTTAAATGTTATATGTTGATTATAAAAGGGACATATAAAAAGTAACATTTTAATAACTTCCTAACATTGACAATTAAGTAACTTCAAACGAATGACAATTTGGTAACTTTATTAAAGTGACAATTTGATAATCAACGCACACATAAAGTCCGTTCTTGTTGTAGTATTTAAATCCTTCTGAATCTTGTAACATTTTCCACCCCTAGAAGAGGTAAAAGGGTCCAGTGCCCCTTTTACAAAGAGCACATAGTGGTTGTTGATTTATTCGGTAGTTTCTTGAATTTTGGATTTATTAATACAATGCAATGTTTTTGCAGGCGAGTTGGCCCAGACCATACAATATCCACTCTAGATCTTGTTCCAACTACTCATAAAAGTGGTTTTTGCTATTAATAACTTTAGTCTTTCATTTTTATTCTTTTATTTTTTAGTTTTAATTTTTATTCTTATTTTTATTTTATTTTTCATATATTACGAATTTTCATATTTCTTAAATTTAATATTCCAAAGTAAACCAGGATTAGAATGATTGTTTGATTTACAATTAATTTATCCCAAGAAAAACTAGGATGGCCATTTTAGGTATTAATGTCTGGTATTCAAAAGTTGTGAAATCTAAAATATCCTGGAAAATTAAGTTTAAATTGAATTGCTATGGTTTTGTGTCATCGATGCTGGATTAGAAAATTCGTGGAACAATCTAAGAGAAATCTTGGATGAACGATGGTTGAGAGACCTAAGCCCCCAGTTTTCCAGAAGAAATTCTGCGCCTATACATTTCTCGAAATGTGTACTAATAACATATGAATAAGAAATTCATGATGCAAGTCTCCTCTTTTTGCAGTATATGACACGACTGTGATTGAAACGTGGTTTTTAGAAAATATTGCGAATTTTACAATTATTTTTGGCGCATTTCTTTTGTGCAGAAATAAAAGATTCTTAGAATCATCTATCTTCAATTGAATAAAAAACTAATAAATCAATTTTACATAATATCACTTTTATTTCGTTTACTAAATTTTTATTACCAAATTGTCACTTTTGTGAGCTTACCAAATTGTCATTACCAAATTGTCATTACCAAACTGTCGTTACCAAATTGTCACCTTACCAAATTGTCCTTACCAAATTGTCATTACCAAATTGTCATTACCAAATTGTCATTACCAAATTGTCAATACCAAATTGTCATTACCAAATTGACATTACCAAATTGTCATTACCAAATTGTCATTACCAAATTGTCATTACCAAATTGTCATTACCAAATTGTCATTACCAAATTGTCATTACCAATTTGTCATTACCAAGTTGTCATTACCAAATTGACATTACCAAAAATCCGCCCATTAAATATATTTCTGTCTGGGTTGACACTCTTTATTTCTTGAGATTTGTTTCTGTTTTATGAAGACTTCTAATTCCAGAGCACTTTTATAAATAAAAATCCTCATAATTTGGAAAATCAAATTCGACAATAAATTTTCCTATTTTTTTACTGAATCATATTAAGAATGTGTTTTTGATTGATTGTCGCGTATTCAGGAAGTCTTTCCGTTCTGCCTGTTCAGTGTCTGTGTGAGTTCCTTCTGAACGATTCCTTAAAGGTAATTTGGTTTAGTTTTGTGAGCTGAACCCTTAAAATAAGTCCATCTCCTTGAAAACATAATTTCAAATGTGGTTTAAAATTGACTTGCTAATTTCTACTGGAGTAATAATATAAGAAATTGTCTGAATAAAACACTTTTCAACAACTTAATCTTCCACATTAATGATCAGATAAAAAAATTAACTTAATAATTGGGTGGTAAGGTTGTAAATCAGATGTGCCTCTCTTTTTTAAATTGAGGGACACATGAAATAACAAAGACCGTCCCTTTAAAGATTTGATAACAAGGATATGGTTGCAGGATCCGAGTAGCCAGGAGCAGGACTCCACAGGGAAGTCCGGTAAGGAAGTGAAGGACCAGGAGACTGGTAGAAGATCAGGACGAAAAGCAGGAATGCCAGAGATTATTAATGTTAAAAGGATTATCCCTACGTTTAAAGTGATTCTTTTGTAAATAAGAGTTCAGTTAACGATCCCAAATTGCTTCCCTTTAGAGGTTTATCAAATTAACTTTGAAATGATTGTTTTAAAAGTTAGGTTTTTGTTCCTATTTTCATGACTTCTGTGCGTCTGTGTAGAAGAGTTGCTACGTCACCTTCAGACTGTTCTACAGAACCCAGATACAGATCCTACCAGCTGTCTTGAGACTTTAGACTACTTTCTCAGGAGACTATCTAGTCTTCAGTCTCAATCCAGACTACAAGCTCTTCAAGGTAACCATTAGACTAACTTCTCATGAGCCTTAATCTTCAGTCTCAATCCAGACTACAAGCTCTTCAAGGTAACCGTTAGACTACTTTCTCAGGAGACTATCTAGTCTTCAGTCTCAATCCAGACTACAAGGATAGATAATATTGATATTAATGAATATGTTTGGTAGGATTACGCCTGCTAGTGACCCCTGTAATTACTGAGGATGATATTAATGAATATGTTGGGTAGGATTACGCCTGCTAGTGACCCCTGTAATTACTAATATTGATATTAATGAATATACGCCTGCTAGTGACCCCTGTAATTACTAATATTGATATTAATGAATATGTTGGGTAGGATTACGCCTGCTAGTGACCCCTGTAATTACTGAGGATGATATGGAGGTGGATAATGTTGAACCCGAAGAGGAGAGCTCTGCCTGGCTCCTTCAGCATATACCAGCCCTACCCTGCTTCAGGTACCAGATATACCCTCACCGCACCAAATCAAATAATTTTGAAGATCATCCCCATCATCAAATTTATCACTTATTTTCAGACCCTGTCTCTCCCCTCATGTTTTAGAACTAACTCCCCCCCCCCTCTCACACACACAGAACCAAAGAGTCAACGTAAATTTGTGTTAAGGGCATCTTTAAATGTAAATGATTATGCATCTTTTTTTTCCTTCCTTCCAATTTTGCATCATTCATTTAGAGAGAGTGTTAAATACGGATGTTTTCCTGTACTGTCTTTGCTACAGAAGTCACTTATATTGAAAATAATCAATGTTTAGCCAGAATAACAAGAGTGTTTCTGTAATCCTTAATCAGATAAAGATTTACAGGATATTTTTGTGATAATTGGAGGATTAATTGAAATGACGTCTACAGTCTAACGAGATAATCTCTAGGTTGGCGTATCCGTCGATAGCATCAGCGCTTCGTGAAGCCTGTGAGGTTGAGAGTGACCCGCTGACGGTCAGTTTATACATCAGGTTCCTCTCCCAAACTTGTCCGGTCAACAGTCTACCTGACCTCGCAGATCTTGCTCTAGGTATTGATTTCTTAAGCATTTGGATCCTTTCAATTTGACTGGCATTAGCTTAAGAAATATCAAAACATGTTTTAATCTGTAAATATTTTGGTCTTATTTAAATCTCAGATTAGTCATGATGAGGTTTTGATGTAGTCATAGCTTAAACACATTAAACCACTGTCCGAGAAGAAATATTGGAGAAACCGTTGTTTTTCTCTCTGGAAATTCTGTATCAAAGCTTGCGATAGAAAATATACGATATCTTTCTCATTAGAACTCTTAAAAAGATTTTATATTTTGCCAATGTGAATTCGGTGTAAAAATTCTTTAATTTGATTACGGCTTGAAATTAAGTAAATTTTGATTGTAAATTTGTTAGATATGGCGAGTGTGATAGTAGAACGATCAAGTGTTCTACCCGCTCTATTACCTGGATCTTCTCATACTACAATAGGTAATGCAGCTTGAATAAACGGTATACTCAAACAACTCAGAATATTTAAACCAAACTAAGAACATTTCCCTGGTTCTACTATGTTTAACGGTCAAATTTGAGGCAAATCGGTCAAGTCAGACATTCATACAAACAGACAAAATTACAAATTCACATATTAAGATATTTTCTTTAAATCGTTTGCTCCAATAAAAACATTTTTGTGCGCAGCGATACAAATTGATTTTTTTATTTTACGAATTAAAGAAGTATCATGAATATGGGCATTGACATGATTATATAAAATTTACTCTCACCCTGCTTCTAAATTTACTTTAGTGGTTGCATGTAAGTTAATCGCTGAATCTCAGTTTTTCAGGAAAACGTATCAATTTTTAAGGGTACAAAAAATGTGAAATGTTTCAATATTTTTAAGTTTTTTTTACAGGTCGTGATGTGGAACAGTCAACATTTCAAGCACTTCTCCACGTGTTCAATAGGTAGTTTTTTCTTAATCTTTTTCTCAGAATACATAAATCATATATCAGTATTTTATTTTTAATTTTTGTAAATTTTTTTTTTAAAACTTGCAAATTAAAGTATTTCAGCAAATAACTTTATCTTATCTTTTATCTAACTTAATACAATATATATATATGGATTAGTGCTCACTGAAGGGATTAACTAAATACAATATATATATATGGATTAGTGCTTACTGAAGGGATTAACTAAATACAATATATATATATATNTTTGATCGAGACATTGATTAAATTAATTTTGTTCTTGTCAAAAACGACCATTTTGATTTCTCAGTGTTCCTTTATAAGGGAGTGACGAGCAAAGAGAAGGGTTGGAGATTAAAGCTCAGTAGTCTTTGATTGAGGGCTCTCAAAATAATTTTTAAAATTTAACTGTTTCATACCCGTCCAACGGAAAAGACGGAAGTCACAGCCTGACATAGGATTCATCTTTCACATAAAAAATCAATGAAATATTCTGATCATCGGAAACTATTATGGGAATTATTAAAATTTTCAAAATTCAATGCCTTTATCCTTCTCGAATACTAAACGAACACTGATGCATCTATTCGTGTTTACTAATTCCGCCCAGGGAGGGACTGGTTTCAATATGTACGCAGAGCTTACGTAACTGCAATTAACTTTCCTTGCATTATAACCTTGGCTTGTACTGTTTTTTTATGTTGCGATGTTAGTTGTGGATATTTATTTTTCTGCTCCTAGTCTTTTGGTATTCCTGTTGAATCCATGTCTAAGCTACTCCAGACCTTGGACCAGGCAGTCCAGGCAGACCTGGACTCAGTAGCCGAGTCCGTGCTAGACAAGAACTATATGGGTCAACTTGTAGCTGTTCAGCATAAGCGTGGGGCCAGTGGGGGACTAGTATTTGCTAAGGCTCTGGGTCTCTCCTTAGATTTAGGAATGGAATGTTTTCTTCCAAGTTTATGATTATTTCTGTTAAGATTGGAAGCATTTGTTGCGCTCCAAATATCAATGTTTACGGGAGTTCAGATTTTAAAACCCAAGCAAATCAACATATGATTAGCTTAAATATTGACGGATAGGCTTTTCAGCTTGACCCATTATTGACAAAACTGCATAATATCATATTTGCTTCCATTATTTTTCGTTGTCCTTTTCCGAATTGAGATTAAGATGTATCCCTTCAACTACACAGGGTTTTGGAATCAGTCTTGACTGAGACCATTACTTCCGAAGGCGGTCTGGGGATCCCACATAGGGAATCTTCCGCGATCTTTTCTTTTATCTGATAGGATTGAAACCAATACTAAAACAGCCATTGCGATATTAACACTTTCTTTATGGAATCCCTGAACAATTGTAATATGAAAACATGACCAAATAACCAGGAAACTCTGGATTAAGCCGTGGTCCAATGCCTGCCCCACTGCCAACCCTAACTATCCCTCCTAGATCTACAACATCTATTCCTCCAAGTCAGGTAAGGACCTTAAAGGGGCTGTTGAATTAATTTATAGAGTGGCATGTCCATTCAACGATGGTATCCTTTAAACCTTTATCCGTGCAACAATGATGAAGGTATCATTTTACTTCCGGAAGTCACTTTTATAAAAAAAACTTTAATTGGAAATTGGATATTATTAATTTTTCGGATAGAAAACGAGTATACCTTAATTATTTCTAAGTTGGTGTAGAAAGGGAACTGTTCCCTGTTTTTCTTCTCAGAGTACCACATTTCCTTCTTTTTTGATTCATTATTCACTTTTTTGAATGACTAGCTAGATATTACTTGTTAGGTGTATACAACTCTTCTGCATTTAATGGATTGTGGAACCTCGGGTCGGCTCTCTTCATCAGAGAAACAAGATACATTCAGAACTTTACAGAAGTATCTATCCCAGGTAGGAAGCTATTAATTTAGAGGTATTTTATAAAATAAATCTTAGCATTTTTTCTAATGTGTGCTAAACGCATTATATTTATCTTTCTTTCACTTAATTTTATCTTTTTATTTTGCTAAAAAGCTTTTATTTCGGAAGATTTTCTTTTCGGTCTTTACATTAAATCAGAAATCTGTGTTTAACTTTTTCTTTCTCAATAGAATGATAGGCGCAATTTTTTAACTTAAAGTAATTTTGTTTTGATCTTAATTTCCCTTCTTTCAGGAGATATCCTGTGGTAGTGAGATAACTCCTTATGTTTCTGCCACACTGACAGGACTTGAGTCAATTCTCAGTTCGGATTTAAAATCTAGTTTCGTCACTTCACTTAGGTAAATATTACCTTAGTATTACAATGAAATAATTTCTATAATATAGGGGGGGGGGGGGAGCTTTAAACGCGGAAACAAACGGCAGAAAGGCACTTTGGAAGACTTTTGTAAAAGATGAAATGAAAATATTATAAATTGATAATTATTTAAACTTCATATAATTTTGCGGACTGTAATTATTGAATGTTGTTTGTTCAGCAAGAAGGGCTCTGTCTCCTGCCCTTTGTTCCGGCTGCTGAACCAGGCACATTGCCGCAAACCAGATTCTAGCGCAGCACGTTCTCTCCTGTCGTCTTTTCAAACCATTTTGGATAAATTGCAGGCTCTGAAGGTATAATTATCTCATCTTGTTCGTACTTAAGGAAGGTGCCATTTAACCACTAAGATACAGAGAATTTTACTCAGATAAACGATTTGTAAGTCTGAACAAAGTCCGAGTTCTGCAGCTTGCACATTTAGGCCACTTGGAAAAAAGTGCATTTTGGAAACTAACTTTTGGGATTTTGAATGTCTGGGGAGTTAAAAGTCCCTTTGGAAATAGCCATTTGGGAATTCGGTTTTTTAGAAATCTACAAGAATGTGGCTATAGAGTCGACTGTACGGAATATATATTGTTTTTCTTACTTTCACGGTTCTCTGGAGCTGTAATTTTGTACATTGTATTGAATAAGTAGTTAGTTTATGTCTAAATAATTGTTTTCAACGCAAGAAACTAAATTCTGATCTTCACATTTATAGAGTTCAGGTCGTCATTAGACTCTCATACTTTGTTGTGTAAACCTGTACCATCAATAACAAACTCCTTGTTTTAGTTGAAGACTCCACTGATCAGTTTATTGTCTGGATACATCAAGCAGTTGAACCAAACTCCAGCCTCTACCCTTCCCGTCTCGACCTCGCTCTCCCTCAAGTCTGGAAACCTAGAGGCTGAAATTAAAAAGCTTGCCTTGGATGCCCTCAGGAATAGATATTACCCAACTGGTTTCCCCCCCTGTCCCTTCTTAAACAAATTTTCCCCAAAAGGATAATTACTGTTCAGTATAAAATTTAGGAGTGCCCCGTGATTTGTCCAGTTTTTGTTTTACATTTCTCCATTGCATTCACACACCTCTTTTTAATCGACTTGGGGAGTTAAAAATTCTATATAAATATGACTGAAGAGTAATATTGATTAGAAAGGAGAATACAGGAGATTTGGTCAAATCGCTTTCAGGTAAAAGAAAGGCGATTTAAAAGCTTAGGCTGGAGACTAAATTGTCGAGTTCTGTCGAAGTGACTTTTTTATTTTAATAAAGGGACTGTTTCAGATATTTCGACTTTTTGATCAAAGTGCGACAACAACGATTAACACTAATCTCATATATTATAAACAAGGGCGAAAAATGTTCTGTGTTTTGTTTTTTATTGAATCGGAGTCCCTTTTCTAAATCTTCATTTTACCACTGAAAGATATCTCTCTAAATCTGAAGTTGATAATAGATGTTAGCAATCCTTAAAATACAATTTCTTTGGCAGTTGCATTCTTATCCCCGTCCAGAACAAATATGTATGTCAATCTAATGATTGAAGACAGTGATTGTTTACATTTTGCTGTACAACATACAGCTGGTCGGCGTTTATTCAGTACAATGAAGACAACTTTTCTCATTGTTTCCACCTTTATGTGTATCCACTATCCATGCTGTTTGAAAGCTGCTTAGTAGAAATTAAAAGTCGGCTTTATTGTATTGATATAAATAGTGACGACTGTTTTATGACAGATCAAGAATTATCCTTGGAATTCACAAACTTGTTCAAACGTTTTCGATAGAATTCCGATCTTTACTGATTCCTAATACTTTACAGTGAAATGTACACAACCTCTATCTTTCTCTCCTACTTGAACTCTCATGTTGGATTCCCCTAGGTTTACTACTGGAGGATGAAGCAAGGGGAGAAGGACAGGTCCCTGGAATACTCCAGGATTGGTTGGATCTTCTGGATCCAACAGTTTTATCCTCTCTTCCAACACTCCAAACCCAGCTGGTGTTTGCGAAGGAGGGGGAGGGGAGGAGGGAGGGGAAGAGAACCAAATCAAGTCGTCCGTACCTTCTGAGCTTGTTAACACATCAGGTGATATTACGATTACAACAAGAAATATTTCTCTTGAGTCCCAGTACCAACCGCCAATAGTCATACTGTGTTATTTTGTTTTTATTAAAAAATGAAGGATTTTTAATTTGTATTTGTTATATCTCATTTTCAGGGATTAAGGACCACGAGTTACATGTTGTAATAATCCTTCTGGAAACTTTTACTCAAAAGACTAAACAAAGACGACATTTATTCAACTTTATTATTGTTTCCACTAAACTAATACTACATCTAAACATATGTCTGATAATAAACAGACTAAAAATGTTAAATAACCTTTGTTTAATGTTCAATTTGGAATAAAGTTTAGCTTTTACATTTTTTTTCAAAACATTTAATTGTTTACCCAAAACTGATGATTTCTTTATATTTGTCTATCAAGTTACAACAGGTACCACAGGTACCACATTATATTTAACGCATGTTATCATTTTTCATTGGCATTAAAGGACAACGAAGAATATTCTATCCCGGGATTGTTTTTAAGAAAGACTTAATGTCATGTCTTCACTGACATGGTTTGCTTTGACATTCTTTATATTTGTGTAATGTCTAGGCAAGCTGGTCTGTGCTACGGAGTACAGTAGATATGGTTCTTCAGCAGTACAGACCTGATCTAGATCAATCAGCTGTTCTTGATTTCCTCACTGCTTGTATTCATATTCCTAGGCTCTGGCAGGCAGGCAGATATACTTCAACTGAGGCCGAATTTAAAGAATTTGAGCCGCGGTTTAAATTTAAGCCGCGGCTCAAATATGGTTGGTTCCACTTAAAATTGTATTAAATTTTTCAAGATTTAAGCCGGCGCTTAATTGAAACCGGTTTTTGGGGATTTGAGACGCAGCTCAAATTCAATAAATTTGAACACTGGAACCGTGGTTGCTAAACTACCTACCCTGCACCAGTTTAAATCCTTCTGAATCTTAAACTTGTATTCCCAGATCATTATTTGCAATGCCAAGTATAACCATTGACCATTGAACACTGTTAAAAGACATTCTTTCATTTTATTTGTAATATCACCGAAAATATGGCTAAAAATCATGGAGAAGAATGATAAGGATATTTTACAAATTTTTTATAAATTTAAAATTCTGTTCGTGTGCCTATACAAATGTTTGTTCGTTTAGATAGCGTGAGTAGAACTAAAAGTTTGTCAGTATTTTATTTTTTTATACTAAAGCTATAAATCTTCAGTAATTTTTCTTAACAAAAAGTTTTAAGGGTAAAAATTGTAAATCTTGAAAAGTTTGAAGCTTTAAAGTCGATCTATATCTGTTTGTCGTAAAGGGAAGAGATCAGAATCCCTCCAAACATCAAACTCCTCCGAACCCATTGGATCTTGATACTCCAGCACTTCAGGTATATTAGACTCCTCCGAACCCATTGGATCTTGATACTCCAGCATTTCAGGTATATTGAAAGACTCCTCCGAACCCATTGGATCTTGATACTCCAGCACTTCAGGTATATTAAAAGACTCCCCCGAACCTATTGGATCTTGATACTCCTGCCCTTCAGGTATTTTAGACTCCTCAGAACCTATTGGAATTGATACTCCTGCACTTCAGGTATAGTTGCGAATCATACGGATTTATTTGATATTGCAGAAATAAGTAATAAAAAATACTTTTTTAGTTTGGTCCTTGTTGAATAATAAAATTTCGACTTTTTTAAGATAACATTATAATAATATCTTTAACATAGGTGATGTTTTTAAATAGTAGAGTGAAGAAAAATTCTGAATGATAACAGTAATAATAATGATACTATTTTTCAGGTGGTTGGTGAGTACATTGTAGTTGAGGGGGTGGAGGGAGGTGAAGACAAAATAAAGAAGAGAATTCCTTTGATTCTCAGGTAAGGTATTCACTGTACAAACCTAAAGGGACTGTGAATCTAATTTCTAAATGAGTATCAATGAGTAAGATATTGTTGCTTCTAGCTTGAAATTAGATAAATTTGACAATAACCTTCCTTGTATCTATTGCATAAGTCCGCAAGATACTTTTCTAGAGAAACCACAATTGAAAATACTCAATTTTCAGCTAGAAAAACAACTTCATCATAGTTTTGTTTTCCAGGTGTCTGGGTAAACAGGGACAGAGAGAAATAGGATTTATCAATCATATTATTCATCTGGCAACAGACCAGGACAAGGACAAGATGGGAGAAATGGACACGGATAAGAGAGGAGAAAAGGACAAGAAGAATGTAGATGAGAGGACTAGAAGAATGGCGAATTATTTGCTTCTCCAGGTACTAATATTCAAATAGTAATTATAAAAAAAAAATTTAACTAAAATCACAATATCCTTATTTTCCATAACAATACCTTTCAACAGGTTGAAACTCAGTCTCAACAACCAACTATCATTTCCAACAAAGTGAAGAATCTTTTCTAACGCTTTTTATCGATTTTTTGTTATAAGATAGGGTTTTCTGCTAGAATTATAACTTTAGTCCAAAGAGAATAGAATATATAGTAGAGAGGAATTTACTAGAAAATAGTGTAAAACTGCCATTTTGTTGTACTGTTTCCATACTGCAGGTGTACTTCTCATATTTGTGCTATATAACCTTTTGGGCCCTGGAACATCATTTTATACAAAAATTTTCTTGAAAATTATTTGATTTTCTGTAAGTCAATTCTCTGATAGCCTGTCATGCACACGTGGATAAAAATCAATCTAAAATTTTTTTT